CACAGGAAGCTGAGCTCGAGGGTTTCTCTAAGAGGTCTTCTCTTCTGATGGGAGTTCTTCTTTTAGCTACAGTGAAACCCACAACCCTAAACTTTTCTCAGCTCTGTCACCTGTCTCAGCTTCCTGAGGATCTCTGAAGGGCTCTGGTCACCGAGGCCAAGGAATGTGGTGACCCCCCCACACCCATGTTTTCCAGAGGAGGTGGGTGCTGTTAGTATAGCTGCTCAGAGTAGAGATGGAAAGTTCTTATAGCAATAAAACAAATCTGTCCCCGTCATCACTGGCAGAGCACAGGGGCAAGCTACAGCGTTGGGCACAAGTCTGTAACCACTGTGGAGAATCCAAGCCTTTCTTTACAAGCTGCCTCATCAACTTGTTCTTTGAGCTGAAGACTGAGACAGACAGCCCTGAAGTTCATACATCCTCTTAGAGGCTATTGGGAGAGGATAACCACAGATGCATCCTGTTTTCTAGTCTTGGATTACAGCCCAGGCCTTGCCCCGCTGGCATAAAAAACACGAGCTCTTACACCTGGGTTTTTTTTTAACCGTGCTGTAAGTCTGTATATAAGGCTGCTCCCTCCCTGCAAAAAGGATGGATGCACATAGCACAAGTGGCCAGACGGCTCTGCTTTCAATTAAATCTCCAGGCTTTCGCCCGATACTTGGACTTAGTCGTGGCGCGGATGCCAAGTGAAGGTTCTTAGTTGTGATGCAGATGCCACAAAGGTGGCTTGTGCAGGGTCACCTGGTAGGCTGCAAGCCTAGACAAATGATCTCAGCCTCAGGCGTCAACGTCGGCACAAAGGGGGTCTCATTTGTAGCTTTTCAGATGAGCAGGTAGATGAATTTGCTCAGCTTGCCTGGCTCGGCTCCTCAGGAGAATCCGTCAAGCATGGCTTTTACCCTTATATCAAGGTAAGCATGTTTAGACAGTCACTTGCCTATTTTAAAAAGCACATTTATTCATCTCTTTTCTTACATATGCCACACAACACACATGGAGGTCAGAGAACAACTTGTGGGAACCTGTTCTCTCCTTCCAATATGTGGGTCTGCAGGATAGAACTCAGGTCATCAGGCTTGGCAACAAGTGACTTCACTTGCTGAACCATCCTGCCAGCCCTCCCTTGCCTGGTTTTTGTTTTGTTTTTTGTTTTCTTATATTGGTTCTTTTTTGAATGTGACCATGGCTCATCAAATGACAATGAGGCAAAGGACTTGATCCTGCTTACATAAGAAAATGTAAGCTTCCAAATCATTGCTAATGCTGAAACTATCTTTATGTTTCTTGGTAAGGTAGTCTGATTTTGTCCAAAACTGAGTTACCTGCTATCAGATGGAATTTTCTCTCACCTCAGTGTGGTACGGGGTGCTTGCTTCCCTCTTGGGTGTTCACAAAGCCACAGCCTTTGACAATGCTAAGGACAACAAGAGACCCCAGTGGTAGCTGTATCACTCATAGACTGTTGGCTGGAAGGAAAAACACCTCAACTGAGTGTGATAAAATACTGTTGAAATATGAATTATACCGTCTCTCAAAGTATTTGAAGAATTTTCTTTTTTACTGGTACCCCACTCACTGTTTCAAAGAAATACATGAAAATAAGAAAATAGACAATGTCCTTTCCAAATTAAACCTAGGAGAGATCAAATTTTGCCCCAAGAGAAATAGCTACATTCAGTGGATTTAAATTATTTTTGTCCCCATCTCCCCCTTAATTTCTTGTTTCCCTTTTAGGTTGCAATGATTAATTTTCGACTTCAGTCCACACTAAGTATGAGATTCAGCACTCATCAGACAGACTTGGTGTGACAGGCTTGGCTCCTCCTTTTGGCTGGGCAGGTTCAGCTCCTTCCTCAGTGTCATCCTGTGCCTTGGGGCTGGGATGAGGATGGTGACAGAAATCACCATGACCCACCTTAACTCTGCTGAGCTTCCGGCAGATGCTCACTCTCCATTCTATGGGAGTCCATGTTTCTTCTGGTCAAGGCTCAATACCTTGAGTAGTGAGCCCTGAGACATACTCTCCCTCCCCAGGGTAGGGTGTGCCTCTATTCTGAAGCGCTCTGGGTGAGTGAGCCATATAACAGGGCAGCGGTAACTTCTCAGGTATGGGTTATTTTCTCGTAAAAATCCTGAGGTCTGCTCCTCTCTGCCCACCATGCTTTCTCAATGTGGCTTTCTCCAGCAGCCTCCAGTTCTAAGAATAAAGCTTAACACGCATGGAACGGAAGCCACATCTTACAGAAAGCCTCCTTAATGCTGGTTTGGACAGGAAATGGAAATGGCAGAGATAGCCCTCCTCTCCAGCATTTCTAGTGCTCAGTCTCCATGAAATGCATTGCTTATGGGGAGATAATGTCTATTCTATTCCTTTTTAAGTCTGTGAAAAATGTCATCCTGGCTAATAGGGTGATTAAAACCCTTTATGCTCCAGGGAGATAAATGTGATTATGTTTGTCATACTCTACCCAAGATAAAGACAGCAAAGAAGGCAGACATGAAATTCCACAACACTTCCTCTCTTCCGTATCTGGGGACATTCAGGACCCTTACACAGATGGTTCCCCACATAAAGAATAACTATCTCTTAAACATATTTTTTCCTTCCCATTAACCAATTGAACAACATGCCTCTGGTACGAAAGAAATAGACAAACGACTAAATCCTCTGGCATCTGAATTCTGTGCAAAACACTTCAGTGGTATCGCTTGCTTGTTCTTTGAGTTTTCATCTGTTATTTCATTTTTTGCTTTTACAAGGCAACTGGGGCCTATGCTGCCTTCTAGAAAAGCTGTCCCTGTCAAAGGGTGACTCAGGTCATTCCTATGGGGATACAAAGTGTAGGGACAGGGCTTTAACATTGGCATGCCACAGAAGCAAGTATTCCATCATCCCTTTGACACAGGTTCCTTCAGGGCCAGTGGAAACAGCACATCCAGTGTGGCCCCTAGTTCCTTCCTAGGGCATGGTTGCCATCTATAGCCCCTGTGACAGGTGGTGTCACATTTACAAGGCCCAACCCTCAGGGAGCTATAAGTCAGGACTCTTGCAGAGAGACCCACAGTTAATTATGGTCTCTCTTTTTATCCCTTTAGCAAATACAGGAATTTCATTTTCTCCCACCCAGTGGAGGTCTTTCAAGAATCATTAGGCAGAAGATTCGAGAAGGGTTTTAGGCAGTGCCCACTCTGCACACCCATCCAACCTGGCTCCTACCTTCCTTCTCTGCATTCAAAGACCAGGAGTCTTTTCTCCCCAGAGGACTGGTAAAAAATAAAAGATGGGTAAAGACACCCCCCCCCCCACACACTCCACTTGCTGATCAAGCTCACAATCTTTTCTTGGATTTTTAGCAGGTTACATGCGAATCTCAGACACCGATTACACCTGTTTAATTAACAATACAGCAATTTTAACAGGGCAATGTGGTCTAGAGGAAAATGTTACATTATGCACTTGACATTTCATTTAAAGAGTTCCTTTAGAACTAAAAGGTTTCACTGTAACAGATTTTGAATGCACTTTATGAAACACGATTGCTGACTAATTAGGGCCTAGGTAATTCTAAAGGCACTACACATCTGACATTCAACCAGAGGGTTTTTCTCTAGACATACTGGCACACTGAAGCTTTCTCTTCTTTAACTATGTGCACAGTCACTTGCCATCAGCTTTCTGCAAGGGATCATGGAGCACACAAGAGGATGGGTTCACACAAATTAACTCCATGAAGAAATGGCACCAAATGCTTAATACTGAGACCCAGTGCTCAGGCGGGTGGCAATTCCACTGTGTTTACTGCCGCCACTGAGACAAAACTACAAATTGTCAGTTGGGGGACAGGGACTTGGAACAAACTTCTCAATGAAGAGTGTTTTATAGCCGTGACATCATCATTACCACTTCAGCACAAGTGTTTCTTTCTGAGTCATCATCAAATGTGGCTGGTGTTCTGTCCTGTGTGTAAGAGTGTACAAACCCTTCAAGGGAGGCCCCCAGCCCTTGCACGCTACCTTCAAATCAGGGTTCAGGACAAGCCGCGCCCGTTACCCTACTGGGTTCACCATCTTGAGACTGGCCAATAGGAACATACCTTCTATGTTCTTAGTCATATTCGATTAGATAGGCTTTTTAAATCCATTTGATTAGATACACTGAGGTCTGGACCTCTGTTGGGAGTCTGCTTATAAAGATTTTTTTTTCTTATTAAAAATGTTTTTTTGAGAATTTCATGCATGGGTACTGTATTTACATCATTTACACCCCTCCCCCTCCCCACTCCAATGCCTTCAGTGTCCACCCCTGCTCACTTTCTAATTCTTGACCTTTTCTTTATTATTGTTACATAGACACATAGCTGTTCACACACACAACCTACTGAGTTGTTTTTTTTTTTTTTTTTTTTTTTTTTTATTTTTTTTTTTTTTTTGTGTATGTGAGTCCATGTGCCCACAGGATTCAGGAGAGGACATACAATGGCCTGGAGCTGCAACTGCAGGTGGTTTTTGAGTCATCCCAAGTGGGTGCTGGGAAATAACCTGGGCTCCTTTGCAGGACACTGTGCACGCTTAACCAGGGAGATCTCTCCAGCCCTCACAAAGATTTTCTGTCTCACTGTGTTTGTGGTTATGAAACATGGTTTATTGTTCTAAACAAAAATAGTTCCTCTGGGACCCTCCTCAAGGGGAACTTCTCAGCAATCAAATCGTTGTCTTAGCTTGAGGCAAACATTCCCTCTCTGTACCATAGACGCAGGCAGATGGCTGTGGCTGTGGCCCGTGGGTACACGGCCATCTGCACGTGTTCCTAGAGGAGTCAACCGAAGCCCTTTCTGACATGGTGTTTCTGAAGCTCCTGTTTGTCTGGAGTCCATCTCTGAATCCATCTCACTTGGATTCCAGTGCCTCTTCCCACTTAACAGCTGACTCGGAGTTCTTGGGAATTGTTGGAAATATGGATTGCATCTTACTTCGAAAGTCCTGCATCTAGAAGGAAAAAATATCAAATGTCAGAAGAAGGGAGGAACAGATGAAGTGCTTAGCATCTTGCTGAGTGGAGAACACCCCATGCCACAGGGCTGCCGAGCAAACGACAGAGCAGTGAAGCTGAGGACTGTACTCCGCACCGTGACAGAATAGCTGTTCTTCCAGGAGTGAATCCACTGACTAAACAACATACAACTGCACTCCTGCTCTGGAAGGCAACACGTCTACAACATACAGCTTCCCCAGGGTGCGCATCTTCACTTGACAATGTGCATCTACAACAGGATGCGTGGCAGCTTTCATTTACAGAGACGGCAGCGGGCAATAGAATTTCTGTCCATCTAAATACACGATTATACTCAGGCCATTCAAAGTCAGACGTTTAGAGAAGGAAAAGAAAAAACTAATGACAGACATACTAGAATATTCTCATGTGCCAGTGTGAAAAAGCTCACATTGAAATTTCACCAGTGAAAGGTAACTGAAGCCAGAGCCAAGGAGGGGTCTGGAAAGTCACACCATCAAGTGCAGACCTGTAGGCAGGGCACCAGTGATTTGTAGGAGGACAGTCTCCCTAGTGCACACTCCAACCCATCCTTTTCTATGTATATGACCCTGCCACGGCAGAGCTGTCTCAGGAACAATACATGGTCCAGGCTGACCCAAGCAGCCACACCTCATTCACATTTTCCTTTGGACACAGGTGCTGAGCAGGACAAAGCTCCAGGACTCTGCAACAACCAATCACTTCTGGGGGAGGCTATTGGAGATACAGGTAACATTTCCATCCTTTTTTTCTTTCTTGTTTTCTTTTTGCTGTTGATGATATGTGTTTATTTCAAATGGAAGCTAAATCTTTACTCTTTTGCCAAATTCAGGGGTTACATTGTTTTCAGTATTTGTAAACTCTAAGCTAGTACCCAGCCTCCATACTTGGTGACACTGGTGGTGGAGAGACCACTGCTCATATCCCAGCCCCAGCCCCCATTTCCTCACCAGCACCCACATCTGCAGAAAGGGTGTAGTAGTAATTACCTACCTGAAGAGTTGTAAGGACAAGGTGAGGCAGTGGGTGCAAAGTGTAGCCCCCAGCTCACAGTAAGTCCTCAATCTGTGAAGGCCATGGCCACTGTAGCATTATCCAGATGTGTGTGCTGTTTCCCAAAACCAAAGCTCACATGTATGAAAATATCATGACCGGTTTACTAAAAGCATGGCTGTATAGTTATGGACCATTTGATGTGACTATTCTCACCATTTTATGGCATCTGTAGGAGGCCAACCATATGGATACTCTAACCCATTTGCTAATCTTTGCATACCTAGCAAACACTCTACCACTGAGCCCCCAAAGCACCATATTTCCCAGTGCCTGTCTTGTGTTAGGCAAATGTGATAACCACTGCTCATGTCTAGAATCTTTGCCAGCCAGATGCTAATCTTGGGTACACCCATGGGCATTGCCTCTCCCTACTGTTTTCACTGGGCTGTAAGATGATGAGCCTTACTTCATGAGAGGTTCTCCACAAGCACCAATGGCAGTGCTGCACCGGACTAGAACAGGTGAGGGCTCTCTCTTGTGGTCACAGTGGCTGTGACTACCATATGCATTTCGTGGCAGGGTTAACACAGATGCTGAGTATCCAAGATTCACATAAAGAAATGCTTGTCAAAAACGCCAGTCACACAACCTATTAAGGAACTTTGCCTAGATGTTTGGAATTGAAAACCCAATGCCTCTCTGGCCACTGTTTGCAGTATGCTGTCCCTTGCCCTGTTGGCTGATGTCTTTTACAATTTATGTTGTGTTGGACTGTGTAGCATTACAGTACAAGCACAGTTGTTTCCCACTATCCCTCATCAGTGGTACTTGTCATCCGCTGCTAGGAATGGAGAGGCAGGATACACGGATGAGGCTGGGAGGTAGGGTGTCGGTCGCTGCTCTGTCCCCTCATCCCTGACCTCACCATCTGTCTTTCAGTCCTCAAGTATTGTATTATTTATTATTTGTTCCTGGGGTCAAAAGTGAGTTACTAGAAGGAATCATATCTGAAAATCATCCATCCAGGAGTAGTCAGGCTTCAGACTGAGATGTGGGACATCTCACATGTGGACACTGAGGACATGGGATACAGGACATGGCTGAGCCCTGTGTCTTCAAGCTGTGGGGGATGGAAACCCAGAGTTCACATATATGCAATAAACAGGCTCTCAAATTGCTTCAAACAACGGGGCTCCATGGGGTTTCAAGTTTGTATCATTTATATTTATATGGACAGTATCTATATCAAATATCTATCAGTAAAGGTCACACAAAGGTCAATGGGTTATTCCCCTATTTAAAGATGCCCTTGAAAAAAAGATTTGAAGATCAAGTATAATTAAGTTTAATCTGGGCCTAAACATACTAAGGATAAGTCACAGCTACTGCCATGGAACTTTCCCTCTGCCCCAGAATTTGATGAGTGTGAGAATTCTAGTCACATCACTCCACAGCAGAACTCTGGGATCTCCTCTGTATAGTTTGCTCCTCCCTTGTTGCTTTGACCGGGGAGAAGTTTTTCATGCTATGGGTTGCAGGGTCACCCTTATAAGCAGGGCCTCTGTGGGCAGCCACAGGCTGTTTCCTGCAAACTTGAGGAGGTATTCTATGCAAGGGATTAAGGCATCATTGTATTCCCTGGAGTAATGAGCCTACAGCCCCCAGAACCTTGTCCTGAAATCCCACTGTCCTCATGTCAACTGGAACGTTATCGCAAGTAATTTATTGGAAATATGGACATTCAGGGAACTTGGTCTGACTGATATTTTAGATGTTACAATAGAACCAAGATTATGCCTCTAATACTGCTCTCCCTCATGTTCCTATAGCTTCCTTGGGGCTTTTGAATCAGAATGCCAGGAGCGAGAACAGCCGGCAGTGTGGCTTAGAGTCTATATACTAGGTGCTGACATACTTATCATTTACCCCTCAACAACAAGCAGGGCAAGTGCTATCCCCCTTCTAAAGACAGCAATGGAAGCTTCCAGCAACCAGACAAGCGTGTCATCCAGCTGGGGAGGCACATGTGACCGCATGACTGTGTTTGCACTCTGTACCGCATGCATGTACACAAGGGTGCTGCCCCAAACTGAAAACCATTCTAATATATTACATATTGAAAAATTGCTTAGAATAACCAGCTTATCTCTAATCTCACAAATCCTTACAGAATCAATTCTAACAGGCAGGCAGTTGTTGGCACTAAAAGCTGAGTTTGAAATTTTTTATTTTTCCTGTCTTCTTCAGCTTGTTTCCACATGTGGGTTCAGGCGCAGCTGGTCTCATTAGAGGCTCTACTAAGAGAGAAGCCCCTGGATGTCGGGGGGGTGAGGGGGAGCAGAGTTGATTTAAGAAGCTGGTGGTAGGGCTTCTGCATAAATAGAAGAAGACCACTGGTTGCTAATCATGGGAGTTAAAAAGTGCAGCAAGGCTGTGACGTAATATCTGAATGGGAACAGTGTCTTCCCTTTGGGGTTGGTGACGTGTCAGGTACCAAAGCTTTGAGATGTTAGTTAATCTTCACAATTCTGTAGTACAGAGAAATGATGACTCCAGCCCAACATACAAGAAAGCAGAGGTCAGAGGTTAATTTGCTTTGCTTCTAAGTGACATGGCTTGAAGGTATGACCCTGTGGCCACTCTGGTTCTGTGAACTAGAAAAAAAAAAAAGTGCCCCTAAGCCTTTTACCCCATGCCGGCTTTCACTGAAAATGATTTAAAACCATGAACACACTCCTGAACATTTTAGCTTGGATGGTTTGAGGGGCACATTACTAGTGGTCACCATTGGTAAGTACCACCTGCTCCTGAAAATGGGGTTCACCAGTGGTCAGTACCACCCGCTTCTGAAGATGGGGTTCACCAGTGGTCAGTACCACCCACTTCTGAAGATGGGGTTCACTTATGGTCAGTACCACCCGCTTCTGAAGATGCAGATTATACTTCTTCACGTCCTTGAAGTTAGGCAGCCATGTAACTAGGGAGTGTGGAAAAAGGGAACAGATCACATCTAGGCATTTAGTTGCAGAAGCACAACTCTCTAGACCTCTCATTTTATTGAAATCTTGGAACCCTGTGTGGCCATGATGGTGCCTCAGGGACAAAGCAAGCTGAAGTGCAGTTAGTTAGGGGAGCTTTCCAAGACATCAGCTTGAACCTAAAGGAATCCTCCTTGAGTGAAAACTAAACTTCTGTCAAGGCAGAGTTAGAGGATGTTTTTTGTATATGTATGTGCACAGGTGTATGCAGGCATGTGGATGGAGGCCAGGGGCCAACCTCAGGGGTGGTTCCTCAAGTGCTAGCCACCTTGCTTTTTGAGGCAGGGTCTCTTACCAGGACTCAAGGCTTGATGGGTAGGACAGGTGAATGGCCAGGGAGTCCCAGAGGTGTGCCTGTCTCTGCATTCCCAGTGCTAGCTAGCAGCGCCGGGGATTGAACTCAAGTCCTTACGCTTGTATGGCAAAGCACTTCCTGGTATCACCACAGCATGGGATTATAGCACAACTCAGTCGGTGCTGACTGAGTCAGGAAGAATGACTGATGCAAGGCCTCTCTGGGGCCTGAAGGAAGGCTGAATAAAAAGCTTGAGGCTCTATGAGAGTAAACAGATACCCTGCAAATAAGCTCCCCAAGCCTGTGAAGTCTCCACCACCAAATCACAGCCTTCCCATGGTCAAGGAACTCAGCCCATTGCTTGGTCCAGTTTTATGTCACCAATTCCTGGGGAATCAGAACATTTCTCCATCTTCTCAATGAATAAATATAAGGCCCATATGCATGCATGCATACATACATACATACATACATACATACATACATACATACTTTTTTAAATGGCAAGATTGCTGCCTGGTATCTACTTGGTAATATTGATTGATCAGCATTGGCCTGGTTCAGTGGGCAGGCACTGAAAGTCTGTTGATGCAAGGATCCAGAGTTGAGGTATCCAAACAGTGTTACTGCAATGCTCTATGGCATTAGGAAGGCTAACATGGAGCTGCCCACATTCCTGTTGTTACTATTATTTATGTAAAGGGTGGAGCAAAGCAAAGAAAGTATCTTTGCTTTCTCCCAAACCATTTTGCCTCCCATCTGTACAGTCCATAGTGTACAGTCAAGCCAGCCTATTTAGAAATAACAAGTGAACCCATGACTTTCTGAGAAATGCAATCCCTAAGTGCCTATTAAAACAGCCAGGTCTTATGCTGCAATTTGACAATAGGACAATTCAAAAGCTTCCACTTTCTCCTCATGTAAGATAAACTGAGCAGCAGGCCAAGACCATAGTATGGCTAAGACACAGCCCAGCGAAAACAATTTACAACCTGTATCTTGATTTAACGTGATAACAGGTTCAAAGACAGTTCTAAAAGGCTTTCACCAAACCAGCCTTCATTTTTGGTAACTGCAATCTTAGTGACACTTCTTACCCTTTACCAACCAATGCAGTTCCTCTATCGCCTCTGCTAGCCAGCCCTTCCCACAGCCTGACTACTATGGCTTTCATGTTAAGTCTGCTTCACAAGCATAATGCATCAATTCTCTCCCTCCCTTCCCTTCTCCTCTCTTCTCTCTCCCTCTACTCTTGAAGCAGCTGCAGTCCCCATTACATGATGTCTCTAAAAAATATTTGTATGTACAAGTGTGATGCTTGCATGTATGTATAGGACTATGTGGGTGCTGGGAACTGAACCTAGGTCCTTGCAAGAGCAGCAAGTGCCACACCCTTCCTGCCCCATGCATAATGTCTTAATGGCTCAAGTAGCTCATTCCAAAACAACAAAGGCAGTCTCAGAACAAAAAATACGTGGCATCTTTTTGTATATAGGAGTTATTTTTTTCTAAGATTTATTTATTTTATGTGTATGGGTGTTCTATCTGCATGCACGCCTTAGGCCAGAAGAAAGCATCAGATCCCAGTATAGATGGTTTGAGCCACCATGTGAGGGCTGGGAATTGAACCCAGGACCACTAAGGCATCTCTCCAGCCCACAGGAGTTACTTTTTATAATGGCCTAGGAGTGGATATAGATAGAAGCCAACCAGAATGGACTAGTACATGCTTACATTCTAATGAAAGTCATCAATTTCTTGAATACCACAGCAACAGGCAAGAACCGGTAATTCAAACACCAAAAATCCCTTTAATGCAGTCACTCAGAAACTGAAAGGGTAAATCACCCGGCAGCTGGATGCCACACAACGAACCAGATGTCCAACCTTCAGAGCCCCCAGTCCACCCCACATGGGCAAGCACTGCGTCTGTTGTCTTCGGTATCTTTAGAAGAAAGGCTTAAAACTTGATGTCTTTCTGTATTTTCCAAATCGTTTCTGCACTCTTGACCATCTGGGCTTCCTCTGCAGGGCTCAGCTTTACCTTTATGATATCTGAGATGCCATTCTCTCCCAGGACACAGGGCACACTGAGAAACACCTCTTCTTTTATTCCATAGAGACCTTTGATTTTGGTTGAAACCGGATGCGTTTTCCTGAGGTTCTTCAGAATGCTCTCTGCAATATCAGCCACAGACAGGCCAATGGCCCAGGACGTGTAGCCCTTCATCTTGATAATGTTATAGGCACTGGCAATCACTTCCTTGTGGACATTTCCCCACTGCTCGGGGTCTTTGCTAGTTCCTATTGCGGAATTCAGCTCTTTCAGAGGCACCCCGGCGATGTTCACTCCACTCCACACAGGGACACTTGAGTCTCCGTGCTCTCCAAGGACCCACCCGTGGCAGCTTTCCGAGTGGATCCCAAGCCTCTCCCCAAGCATGTAACGGAAACGAGCAGTGTCAAGGTTACAGCCACTTCCAATAATACGGTTTTTGGGAAACCCACTCAGTTTCCAGGTTACATAAGTTAAGATGTCCACTGGATTGGATACAATAATTATTTTGCAACGAGGGCTGTGCTTGATAATATCGGCAACCATCAGCTTAAAGATGGTTACGTTTCGCTGGACTAAATTTAGGCGCGTTTCGTCTTTTGCCTGGCGTGCACCTGCTGTGACAATCACTATCTGTGAGTTGGCAGTGACAAGGAAATCTTTGCTGCAAACAATATTTGGCATTTTCATGAAGACACTGCCGTGCTGGAGATCCATCGTCTCACCCTTCATTTTATCTTCATTACAGTCAACAAGGGCAACCTCATCAGCCAAGCCTTTTGCTATGATGCTGATGGCACAGGCCATGCCGACCGATCCGGTTCCTATAATGGAGACCTTGTTGTGGAGAACTGGCTTTTCGGCGCTCATGTGCTGCATTAGCTCACCCTTCACAGTCCCCATGGTGGAAGTGGGAGTGACTCTCCACCAGGCCCGGTTGAGGGGGACACGCAGCACTCGATTGGGCCGCAGAGCTACGCTCAGGTCTCCGATACTCACTCGGGCTGCACCTACTCTTTTGCTGGCTCGCAGGATGCCTGCAGCCCAGGCCATGGCTACTCATTCAGGTGGAGGAAGTGAACCGGATGAGGAAGACGGTTGACGCCAGAACGGCAGAACGGTCGTCGCCCTGAAGTACAGGCACAGCCTCTACTCCCACTGCGGCTGCGCAGCCCCCATCCACTAGTGCTGCGCAAAGGGCTCAGTGCAGGCTGGGTCTGCCTGCTCCAGCAACTGCAGGCCTGCACCAAGGCTTTATAAAGGTCTTTCACTCCCAGCAAGGAAATATTGGAATTAGTTTTACAAACTCATACTCTTTAATGCTGATATATAACGTCCAACCGAGACCCCTGGAATTAATTGTCTTGTTCTCAATGTGTATATCAAGAATGGTTCTGGCAACAACAGATGAAAATAAGGCTAAAACTTTGTACCGCAACAAAGGTGGCTGTGTGGTCTACCAAGAGACAGAATGGCAGGAGAAACGGGGCTCTTCATTCGGTGTATCCAGCTGGAGGATCTTTTTTTCCCCCCTAATAACCCCCATCCACATTGAGTTTACATTTAATATGCTTTAACAACAACAAATCAAGAATACTGTGTGCAGCAATTCCAATTCCAAAGTTGCAGACAGATGTATAATATATAAATCTTCATTATAAAAAATACTCAAAAACAATGAGGATTCTTTAGTTCATGTAGAAATATTTTGCTTTTTGGAGGTAAATCTTTGAAAAGTCTAAGATACATTTTTTTTTTGTCTTTCATGTGTAAATTCTAGAGCTTTTTTCTTCCTTTGCTGGTGTCTGTTTCATCTGCCCTGATATTACATACTACCTAGATATTGAGCGTGTTCCTCATTTTTGCCTGTATCCTAACCATGGCACACACCTGGACAAGGACAGCAGGAGAGGGGGGAGGAGTGTCAGTACAAGATGACTGCACTATCATACCCCTTCTTTCTCCTGCCAAAGGTTAAGGGCACATAATGCTCCCACAAGGACCTAGGTTGGGGGTCTCTGCACCCACACCAGGCGGCTTAACTGCCCTTAGCTCCATTTGCAAGAACACTTGACACGCTCTAGCTTCTGTGTGGCACCTGGTCCACGTGGCGAATATAAACTCCCTCAGACACACACATTCACATAAATAACAGATAAAAAACAAAACCAGAAATCTTTCCTCAAGCCCTGCAATTTCTTGAGAAAGATGGCCTATAGCCGTCTACTAAAATGAAGGTGTCTTTGAAATGACCTTAGAATGACAGACTAACTTTGAGCCAATGTATATATAAATGAGATTATTGACTAAAGTGGTGAAATACAATTACTTTGCAAACCTGACACTGGTATATCTCATCTCTCCTGTGTTTTTCTGGACAGTCTTGTAAACTAATTTCAAATCTCTGAGGAGATGCAAACATTACATTTTATGACAAACCTAATAAACTACAAATGCCCAGGAAATGCAATGGCATTTTCTCCTCCACCAATCAATTCAGACCACGTGATGAATGCTCAGAGTGTGTCCTCTTGAAAACACAGAGATCTGCTCCCCCAGAATGAGGGTCCTAGGTACATGTAGCCCTGTCATCATCTAGCAAAATTAGTATTTTGTAGCCAGACTCCAAGAGTGCCTCTCCTCCCTCTGCTGGAATGCAGTTCAGGAAAGCAGGGACCCAGCAGGGGAGCTGGAAGTGTGGAGTTAGTGGCTGATGGTGTTTACATGTTTCCAAGCCAGAAGGGCTTCCTGGAGGAAACAGAGCCACTGTGATACAACAGTCTAAACAGACAGGTGAAATCTCTGCACACTGGCAATCAGATTTATGGCAGCAAGCTGTCAAATTAAAAACTGGAATTAAAAAAATGGTCATCTTCATTAAATGGTTGGAAGAAGCTGTTAAAATGGTCTACAAACTATCACTGATGCCTGTAATTTCTTTTATTCCACTTTTCACCTGAAATATTTAGCCTGACAACTGTTCCCACCTTCTTTCTGTAATGATTCCTTTGACCAGTCAAGTTGTTTTCCAGGACGAGTGCTCTTGAGTTTGAGATTCAAGGACATGACGACTCTTAGCTGGACAGCTCCTATCCACAGTCATTTTCTTTACAGAGATTGAGACTCTTCAGAAATACCATCTTGATGACAGCTGGCTCTTCAGTCTTTCCCTCAGCCACAACTAAATCAATTTTAAGAGGGAAAATGACAACATTCCAAAATAAAGAATACCTCAAAGAAAGCAGCTTTTTATTTACAGTAAGTCTCAAGAAGACAAGCAAAATGCTCGTGACCTCCTGAGAAGATGCAGGACTACTTAAAGATGCGCAGAGCCAAATACAGCCAAATAGCTCCTAATGGCTTTCTATGTTAAGTGACTCATTATTTTTTTCAATTAAAGACCCAATTCAAAATATCTATTAAAAATGAAGCTGGGAAGTGATGGTGCACGCTTTTAATTCTAGCACTCGGGAGGCAGAGGCAGGCAAATCTCTGTGAGTTTGAGGCCAGTCTGGTCTACAGAGCAAGTTCCAGGAAAGCCCAGGTCTACACACAGAAACCAGGTCTACAAAAACAAAAACAAAACAAAAAAAATAATGTAATATTACAGTTGAGACAGAATGCTACCTTAATGCTTTTGGTTACATCTCTTAGGAGACAGGAAGCTGGAAATCAGAACTACCAGCATGTATCTACAGCAGTGGTCCTCAACCTTCCTAATTCTGTGACCCTTTAATACAGTTCCTCATGTTGTGGTGACCTCCAACCATAAAATTAACATAGCTACTTCATAACTGTAATTTTGTTACTGTTGTGAATTGTAATGTAAATATCTGATAGGCAGGATATCTGGCTTTGCTTCTTCTTTATATACTGTGGGAATTAAAGGTGTGAGCTCTGTTTCTTTTTTAGAGTGATTCACCCTCAAGTAGCCCTGGGTTGCCTTGAATTCACAGAGACCCATTTGCCTCTATCTCCTGAGTCCTGGGATTAAAGGTGTGTGCCACCACTGCCTAGCTTCTATGGCTGTGGCTAGCTTTGTGTTCTGATTTTCAGGCAAGCTTTATTAGATCATAAACAACATATCACCACAGACCTTTCTCAAACCTTTGCCACATTAAACTTGAGGCAAAAGCCACACCTGCAGTGCTAGAAGCACAACAGAACAAAGTGTGGTGGCAAAGAGTATTTTAAACCTTTAAAACTATTTAAAATTTGAGAACTTTGACAGTTACCACCAGAGGAAATCCTTGATGAGGAACAAAGGGATGCTAAGAGGGCAGGGCCAGCCAGCACCATTGCTGTCCTTGGAGGTGGCTGCAAGGAGGGTGCTCCCTGTGGAACACAATCAAGGAGGGTGCTCCCCGTGGAACACAAGAAAGAAGGGTGCTCCCTGTGGAGAACAAGTAGAAGTTTCTGTTGTGATTTGAAAATGGTAACATAAAACTAGTTTTTTTAAAAAATTAAATTAAAAATTGGTGTGTTGCTCACAGATTAAAGTGATTCTTGTGTGAGGGTATTTACAAATCTTAGAGCCCAAAAGTATTTTTCCCTGGAGAGCCAGTTCCAAGTAGAACACTGGTATAGGTAGAGGATCCACCTAAAAAGCACTCAGAAGGACTCTGTTTAAGAATTAAACACTAAAAAAATGAACTGGCCACTCTTCTGATAAATTCACCAAATCACATTTTTGGATCATCATAATTGCTCATTCAATGTGAAAGAACAACTCAGATTAACAACCACTGAAAGGAAAGGGATGTATTATTAGTAAGTGTTTGATTTGTATTTATATCCCTGTGTACCCAGGGTCATGAAAACATCCCTTAGGGAAAACGGCAGAGTGGGAAAAGTTAAGAAGCCCGTGCTGAGGCACCAAAGAAACTGGCGGCACTGAAGAGCAGTGGGTGGGGGCGGGAGACCGAGGGTGGACCGGATGTGGTCAGGGAGTGAGTGGGTGGGGCTCCACCAAGTAAACCTTTTAACAGGAAGCCATAGAAGGCTTTTAAATGAAGCATCATCCATCTGACTTACATTTTAAAAATATCTCTGGCTGCCATGTGGGAAAAAGTAGGGGGGAGATGAAGGTGAGGCTGGGAGACCAAACAGGAAACTGTCTATGTGCCAGCCAGCAAAAGATGAGCACAGGCCAGGAGTAGAGAGGCCACACTTGGTCATGTGCAGGACACGCTCGTGGCTTAGAAGAAACAACAGGAAATGAGACAATCCCAGGCTTTTGACTTGAAATGGGGGCTAAGATGATTAAGGCATCTCCTCAATGGGGAAGATGAAGGGAAGAACACAAGAGAATCAAGAATTCTGGCTGGAGTGTGTTGTCACCAGACACATCATGAGATAATTTGGTAAAGACGGTCTATATGTATCTAGGAGGCAAGTCTGAAGGGCTGGAGCTATGTATTTGGAAATCACTACATGGACAGATTGCTTTAAATGCCACAGTCTAGATGAGGGAGCTAAGTGAGTAGGGAGAGACAGATCAGAAGATGGGTGTAAAGCCATCGGTCACTTTGACACTAGAGACAAACCAGCAGGGTCAGCAGAGAACTGTTTCCTCAGGAAGGAGGCTCAACTGTGTCAAAGGCTATGGAGGGGCAGGAACAGGACAAAGACCTAGATCTGGCAATGGGGGGGGAGGGCGACTGGTGACCCGGACAACTTCAGTGCGTGGCTAGGGAAAGAGGCTGGATGGAGGGCAGGGCTGGAAGACACGGAGACAGCAATCACAGGCAACTTACTTGAGAAACATTTCTGCTGGAGATGTAGACAAACCCAAGGAGAGGGAGGACTATCAGAAGAGGGAATTCAGAGTTGGAATAAACCACAGCATTTCTGTACATGCTGCAGCAGAAAGGACGACCAGCAAAGGCCCGACTATGACGACAGCAGCAGAGTCTTTGGGCAGATGACCTGGTGGCAGTGGTGGTGGGGAGGAAGCAGACACCTATTGCCCAAATGGCTGGATGAGGCCTTTGGCAGCGAGAAGGATATTCAGCCCCAGTAGTGTGGTTCAGACACAGGCAGAAGGCCCAAGCATCCTGTAGTATAAAGGGCTGCAGTGAGGTGAGGAGAACAAGGAAGCTACTGTGACGACCCTGTGGGAGGAAGTGGTTCCCAAAGGGAATGGCTGTGGAGTGGAGGGCAGGTAAGATGGACAGGTAAGACCTGGGGAGGGATAAAACGTGCTGAGATGTAATTATGAGCAGCAGTCTGGCCTTCCTTCCAGGCAGCTTTGTGGTTGCTGCCACTCAGGGAATAAATGACTATTCAGTGGGGAGGAATCGCACATGAAACCTACAGTGTACCCAAGTACCAGTGCCCAGTCCAGTGGCCCCTAAACCTGAAGCACAAGACAGGGATGAAGTCACCCAGTGCTAGAACCAGAAGGAGAAAAAAAAAAAAAAGATGAGGGCCAAGGACAGGGCTGGAAGCATCACTGTGTATTCAGTACAGCTGCACCAATGCAATGATCAGAACTGCCAGAAAGAGCCAAACTAGAGTCAAGAGAAGAAGAATACAGAAACAAACAGGCCAGAACCTTTTAACAAGTGCAAACAATAACTGCCATCAGCCACCAAGAAAAAAGGTGGTCATATTCGGCACAATTCACAGAATGAAAAAGTATGTAGCACATTAAAAATTATTTTTGAAAGAGGGTCTCTTTGCATAGCTCAGGCTGGCCATAAAACTAGAGATTCTCTCCAGTTCTGTGATTATAGGCATGTGTAATGTCACCAAGCTTCGAATACAAATGAATGAGTGAAAAAAGAGCTGAGGAAATGGCCCAGTCAGGGAAGTCTGTGCTGTGTGTGAGGACCTGGATAAGTGTGAGGACCTAAGTTTGGTCCCAGCTCCCATGTAAAAGCTGGTGTGGTGTGGCAGGGTGCACCTGAAGTCCCAGGACTGGGGAAGACAGCTCGGCCTTCCTGGCCAGCCTAGCCAAATTAGTAAACTTTAGGCTGAATGAGAGACCCTGATTGAAAAAAAAAGATGGAGAGAAATTGAAGATGTCTATCATTGACCTTTGGATGGACACACACACACACACACACACTTTTTTAAGTATTCTGGAAATCTTTTGGTTAGGAAAATTCAGTTTGAGAGAATACTTCATTTTCTGCATACAACTGACAAGTTAATAATTATATGCAAATCTATCAACATATATAATGTTTCAGAATTCCACCTATCTGTAAGAGACCGATAGGAGGTGGCTTTTAAAACGAAGCAGAAGGCAAGGCAGCAGTGCCACCTCTTCACTCACAATGCTGTGTGTAGAGAGGGCTGCTCGTGAGATCGGGATCAGAACAAAGGAAACACAGAACTCAAACCAAGTGACATCAAGGATCCGCCTTTCCTGTGTGACACACATGGGAACACTGAGGTGCCCAGGCTGGTGTGTGTCAGGCCTCTGAACAGCTCGGCTCTCACAACACTACTTATCTCTCCCATTAATTGGTGCACATTCCTACTTTGTAAAATGCTCTGAGGCCCAATTTTACTTACAAAAAGAAAATGGCTCTTTTTTTTCTTTTCTTTTTAAGAAGTATTTTGGAAATGTGCCCAAAGAGCAGATTCCCTCCTCCCTACGCAAAAAAAAAAAAAAAAAAAAAAAAAAAAAAAAAAAAAAAAAAAGAGAGAAAAGAAAAAAGAAAAAAAGCAAAAGAAAAAAAAAGAAAAGAAATGCAAGTCATTATCTCCCACTTTAAACTGAGCAAGACCATGGGATTCAGACCCTCTGCCACCAAATTGCTCTTCCGCATTTACATCAAATGCCTCTCCCCAGTTGGAGCTAGGCCATTAGAGCTGCAGCAGTGGAATAGGAAATAGGGTGACAGAGATGTTCTTGTCACCTCAGACTTGAACTGACTAACTCATGCACAGTGCTATTTCCCATTCATTTTTTAAATGATTCCAGGAAATTATTCCTCAATCTGCAAGGCTGACAGGAGAAATGGCTGTCAGGTCATGATGACCCTGTTCTGCAGTTCCAGCAAATACCATCAAGAGGCGGAAGTGAGGCAGAGTGGCAATAAGAACAAGACATGGCTGCTCTTCCTCGGGGTAGAGCATTAGATCAGGCCACTTCAAAATGGCTGCCATTAGGCAATTTGCCAGGAAATTCAGACTTGCTTTTAACCTTTAACTGAACCAGTGAAAAATATCCAGCACTTAAAAGTCCATTTCCCTTCTTAGATACCTTCAAAGCTAAAGCTTGTGAGTCTTTCATCAGCTTTATTTAAATATGGGTCAGCTGTTTCATTTGAGATGAGTAAATGAAATAAGAATAGGGATAAATATACTAGTAAGAGGCACTGGAGAGACACACACATGCTCTAATAAGACACACCTGTGAGAGAGACACACACATGCTCTAATAAGAGAGAGAGACACCTGTGAGAGAGACACACGCATTTCTGTCACTGGGGAGACACATGCGTGATCTAATAAGAGACACTGATGAATACTGGTAAAAATTAAAATTAGCAAAAAGGACAAAGAAGGAACTTCACTCTAGTTAATAAAGGCCATCATAGTGGCATAAGGTTTAGAAGTTTAACAGGCTAATATAAAAATTATGTCTCAAAAATAAGTAAATAAAGATAAATCAAATGTGTGTGTGTGTGTGTGTGTGTGTGTGTGTGTGTGTGTGTGTGTGTGTGCAATTACAATAAAGACCTGGAGAAAATATTTTTTTTAAACAGTCTTCTCTTTAGCCCATGCTGGCTGAACTTATTAGCCCAGGCTAACCTCAAACTCTCTATCGTTCTGCCCTGCTTCTCAGGTACTGCAGTTACAGGTATGTGCCAGCTGCCAGGCTGAGCAAATAAACACATCAGAGTGCATGCTCTCCATCCTGGCAGAAAGATACTACTCAAAGGTGCTTCATCCACACAGAACTTTTTGGTTTTAAAGAGGAGGCCGGGCCCTTGGGAGAGAAGCAACACCATCAGAGAGAAGCAGGACAGGACCCAGGAACTGTGCAAGCTTCCAGACTCAGCTATCTCCAGGTGAACCTTCACTGCTAGAGACACCCAATTTAACATCTATCAGATTGGCAAATGTTACAGAGAAAGAGAAGCCACCAACGGCCAGGGAGCTAGGAAACACATGCATCCTCACCTTCTCAACCTTTCTACACAGCCCCTTAACAGCACTCATCAAAAACATTTAAAAAACATCCTTTGCTTCAGCATTAACATCTTCGGTCTTTACAACAATTTTCTTAATCAGGAAAAGTGCACTAAGATGTATGCTTAACAGGTTCATTATAATACTTAGTAGTGAGATGTTTGTCCCTGTGCAGGAGCTAAGTAGACTACAGTATGTCATAGAGTACCCGCAGTCATTAAAAGTGATGAAAATTTATGTACTCTGCTACATGAAGATGGCCCCATGACTGCTCAGTGAAAAATGATCCCAGACTAGCACATTTGAGTTGGAGCACTTTGATCTGATGCTATGTATGTGCCCTCAGAGAGAGAGAACAGGTCTGAAAGGAAGCCCCACTCTACAGTGATTACAAATCGGGGTGTGGGGTCTGTTGTACTTTTCACATGGATGTTTTTAAAAATGAGTAGTTTTTTTTTTAAAAAAAAAACATGAATTATCTTTAAAATATAGGTTCTACATATTTTAAACACACACATATCCATCCATAATTTGGATTCTGAATATTCCCCAGAGGGCCTTGTGGGAGAGGCCCAGGAGGTACGCTGGAAAGGGGCACTTGGGACATGGACTGTCTAGTCTTCCTCTGATCCTTGACTGGTGGTGTGAGCAGTTCTGTTCCACCTTGCACGCCTGCCCCTGCTCTCCATCAGCTCTACCAGGAGCAGAGAGCAATGTGGCCACTCAGTCACAGGCTGGGACTTCCAAATCCATGGGCTGAATAAATCTTTCCCAAAGGAAATGAATGCCCTCAGGTTCTTTGTTACAGTAACAGGTAGCTGACTGATTCAATATGTAAAGACAAATCCCTCCTTACTCAATAGTTAAAAAAAAGTAATAAAGTCAAATCTCCATTTATTTATTAATTTAAAAAATCTCTAGATAATTTAATTTTCCACAGCAGAGAACATTTTCATCCTTGGTTTTTATTACAATGGATGTTTTAGCTCCTGGAGAGGCAACAGCTATAAACTATAAATTCTTACCCACCAGGCAACATGAACACATTCCATAGAAGCCATGAGAGCACTCAGTTTCTTGGAAGAGCAGAAACATGGAGCCTAAGACCTCTGGCCCGGGGGGAGCACCTGTATCCACCTTTCATTATGACATAAGATATAATATAAAAGCTTCCATATAATCTCACATTCAGTAATGCCTAGTAGTGGTGATGCCAGGCCTCTGAGATGACAGTGCACAGCACTGGGCCACAGGCAGAGCACACATACACACACCCTTCTACAAAGTTATAACCAAGAAATAGTGGGATAGTTAACATTTCACCTTCTAAGAGAGAAGGGACAAAGGGCAGTGTAGTCTAGCTCAAATAAGCTAAACTCTTCAGAAATCCTTTGACCACCAAGTAATACCTAGTAAATCATAAAAAGGACACTAATGACAAAGTTGACAAGTCACTGTATGAGCAACATGCCAGTAACCAAACAGAAGTGTATTTTCTTACACAAACAGGAAATCATCGATAAGTATTGCATTTCTCTCAACTATTTGCTAAGCCACCTGTGCCCTGGTGACAATCTAATCACACTGTCCCCAGTGTACTTACTAGGCTGGATGGCCAGTCTCCTGGAATCATGTGCACAGCTGGTTTAGCCAGGTGACCAGGAACCTACAATGAAGTTTTTTTTGTGTTTCCTCCTCCCCCCATAGTAGAACTACTGAGATGAAATATTGCCCAATAATACTCTAATGATAAAATAGCATAATTCAAAATGATCAATGAATTCACATAGAACAATCAAGCTGTACTGGGCTGGCTCAGTACCGGTCAGGGCACTGAGGTGGATGGGTGGTTCCTAGAGCCTCACCTTTAACCTTGAGCAAGGTCAGTGCTTTGGCCAGCTAATGCAAAAGCTTTCAGAAGCTGTTGTTTTGGGAATCTCTGATTAAATTGTACACTACTGAATGAGATATAAATGTATTTTTACACTGAGGTATTGTATGAGTTCTCCATACAATGAAATTTCATAACTGTGTAAATAAAGGAAAGCAGAAATATTTTTAAGACAGTAGTTTTGATTTGAGCAATTTAAACATGTTGCCTCTCAGGCCAGCAGAGGTAGCTATGAATTAAAACAAAATGCAAGCGCTTCGGGCAAGCTGCTCACAATCGGCCACTAGATGGCAGGCAAGAGGAACTGGGTCTACAGCAGACTTTGGCGCAGTTCAAGGTAGCCGGTGGCAATTAAGTGGCAGTGCAGTTGGTTTTGATTTACCTGCTATTATCTAGGAATGGCCACCTAACCTACATCCTGGTGCAGAGGTGTGGCTGACTCTGCTCATCATCTACAGACACTGTCATCTTAAATTGTAGAAAATGGCATTTCCCCAAATGGGGCTGGACACAGAGACCAAGTTAACTACCAGTCTCGGGCCAGTCTCCTGCCTTCACTCCACACTGTCATGCAGGGATCTTCTTACTGGTTTCTAGGAGCCTGGCACAGGGTTGTGGCCTTTGCTAGGGTGGTCCTACACAGCCAGCTCAGAGTAGCCCCACACATGAGTTCTGGGGGAATAACTGGACAGAATAACAAACACCCTGGCCTTTTGAAATGTCCTTGTACAGATAGAGGATTTAATGTCCTGAGAGGTGTCTCTGAAGAGCAGACGGACAGATAAGCCCAGTGACCTCTGAAGTGGGAGGCAGGGTATTGCACTCTCCTTCCATAAGGACATTAAGAGGCAGTGTCAAAGAGTTCACATATGTGCACATTAAGTAATGCTAACTAGAAAACATTTTCCCCCTCAGATGTTTTACTTAGGTAATAATCCTCTTATTGGTATCATAAAACAAAGTTGCTCATGTTCTAGAAACTAAAATAGCACAGTCTAGTCCATAAAGCCAAATCCTCTGGAGTATAATAACCTACTTTTGGTGGTCTATGAAAACTTAGATTGATTTCTTATGACGACTCTTCTTTTTTCCCTTTTATTGAAAACAGACATTTTTCCTTACATAATATATCCTGATTATGGTTTCCTCTCCCTCTACTCCTCCTAGATCCTTTCTCCCTCCCCTCCCATTCAGATCCACTCCCTTCCTGTCTCCTTTTAGAAAACAAACAGGCTAAGTGATAGGATAGCAATAAAATAAAACGATAAAGCAAAAACTATCACACTGAAGTTGGACAAAACACACAGAAGGATAGAGCCTACCAGAAGGCACAAGAATCAGAAGCACACTCATTTGCACACTCAGGAATCCCATAAAAACACTAAACTGGAAGTTAAAATATGTATGCAAAGTACTAGCACGGTAAAAAGAGATAAAAATACACATAAATAAAAGTCAAAAATCACACACACGCACCCTGACATTGTAAGACAAGAAGACAAGAATCTTCCAATGATGCCATGGAGTTTATTTTCTGTTGGCCATTTACTGCTGGGCATGCAGACTGCCCTTAAGAGTAGTTTGTTTCCCCAGTGAGACTCCCTTGGGGGAAACTAAATTTTCATTTGCAAGTGGTAATCATGAAGATTGCTTCTGGGTTAGGGATGGAGGCGTGTGTCTGCTTCTTTCAGTTCTCGGGCCTCATTCAGGCCCTGTGCATGCGGCCTCAGTTTCTGTGCCAATCATGTTGATTTCGAGGGCCTTGTTTTCTTGGTGTCCTCCATCCCTCTGTCTCCTACACTCTTTCTGCCTTCTCTTCCATAGGATTTCCTGAGCCCTGAGGGGAGGGACTTGATGGAGACATTCCATTTAGGGCAGTGTTCCACGGTCTCTTATTCTCTTTGTAATATCTGACTGTGGGTCTCTGTATTTGTTCCCATCTGCTGCAGGAGGAAGCTTCTCTAATGATGGCTGAGCAAGGCACAGATCTGTGAGTATAGCAGAGTGTCATTTTATTGCTATGTTTTTGTTTGTTTTGTTTTATTTTTAGAACTATATAGTATTTGGCCTTGTGGGGGTGTACGGCTTTAATCCTAGCACTCGGCAGGCAGAGGCAGGCGGATCTCTGTGAGTTTGAGACCAGTCTGGTCTACAAGAGCTAGTTCCAGGACAGGCACCAAAGCCAGAGAAACCCTGTCTTGAAACACCAAAAAATTTATATATATATAATTTTTTAAATTTGGTTTTATTCTAGGTTCCTGGGCTATCTAGTGTCAGGATCTTGGTCACCCAAGCAATGTCAGATATGAGTTTCATCTTACAGAGTGGGCTTTATGTCAAATCAGACATTGGCTGGTTACTCCCTCAAGCTTTGTGTCGCCATTGCACTAGTGTATCTTGCAGCAATGTAGATCAAACTTGTGGCTAGGTTGGTATTTCTGTTTCTCCTCTGGTATTTTGGTATAAAAATAAAATCTTACATATAGATCGGTTGCATTTGGGTGGTATGAATGTAGACATCCTGTGCAGGTTTTTAAGTAATATTGACACTATAGTAGTATTTCTAAGAATATTAGAAAATTATTTACTCAGTCTATTATTTGTTCACATATTTGCCATTCTTCAGTTTTTCAGATAGCTTCCCTCTTTTATATACAGATGTAAATGTTTTTGTTCACTTGTCCCTAAGCATTCTGCTGCTTCAGCCAATGGCTGAAGATGTTTCCTCTTCTGAGAGAAAGGCCAGTCCTGTAAGAGACTGACGTCCATCTAGGAAAGCTTGGTGAGCTATCAAGAACCATGTGGATCAGATCAGTCAAATCCATCACTCCCTTCCCCTTCGCCTACTTGATTTCCCCTCTTAGCAGTGGAAGTAAAATTGGAAAACCTAGGTCCTAAGTCTTCAGATCTGAGTTCCAAGCTTGAGTCTGCTGGCAGAAAACTATGTGATCCTAGGCAAGTGAGTCAACCTTACTTAGTTCCCAATACCAGCATCTCTAGATGGCTATGTTTCAATAGTCTGTCTGAAGTGGGAGACTGTCAATAATCACCGACAATCCTCCAGTCCCAGTTTTCTGACTTTTCTAAGGAGTCCCCAGTCTGTTCTGAAAGATGCTGAACGGGTAAGGCAGGAGGCTAGTGCGGCCTGCCATGTTTCCCAGGATACCGTGAACAGAGTGCAACGCTCATCTTTAGATAATGTGAAAAGCACTCCATGTGTAGAAGGCTGCTCTGGCAAGTCCCACCAATCTTGTCGTTCCCATCACCAGATACACGCTATCAACCCCCAGTTATAAAACAGAGACACTAAACTTCCCTGCTCTTCCACTTGTCCTTCTAGCTATGATTTCATCATTTGCCTCATAGTAAAACTCAAGGCTTGTCTAGACGTTATTACTTCCAAGATCTCCCTTCTGTTCTCTTCTGAATCCATTCCACATGCTAAGCTCAGGGAAAATTCAGTGCTCCTCAGATGCATCTTCATGAGCAGGGAACACAGTGATCTCTCTCTGAAATGTCTTTCATCCTAAGGCACCCTCAGGCTTCCCCAGTTCATGCTGGCACTTTCTGCTCCCTGTCTCACCACAGACCCCATGCCCAGGCTCTCCCTCCTCAGGCCTCTTTCTCTTTCTCACCAGTCCAGTGCAGTTGGAACCGTGGCTTTTAATTCTACCCACCTATGGTGAGTCTCAAATTCACATCTCTACCTGGAACCTCTTCTTGACTTCCAAACTTCCCTGTTGACTGTCTATGCGTGTGGTGGTTTGAGTAAGAGTGGACCCCATAGGCTCATATATTTGAATGCTTAGTCACCAGGGAGTAGAACTCTTTGACAGGATTAGAAGGACTAGGAGGTGTGGCCTTGTTAGAGGAAGTGTGTCACTTTAAGGTTTCAAAAGCCCTTGTGTGGCCCAGTCTCTCTCTCTCTCTCTCTCTCTCTCTCTCTCTCTCGCTCTCGCTCTCGCTCTCGCTCTCTCCCTCCCTCCCTCCCTCTCTCTCTCAAGTCATACTCTCAGCTTCTGCTCTAGAACCTGCCTGCATGCTGCCATGCTCCCCATCATGATGGTAATGGACTAAGCCTCTGTAAGCAAGCCACCCCAATTAAATGCTTTCCTTTATAAGAGTCACCTTGATCATGGTGTCTCTTCACAGTAATAGAACAATGACTAAGACAACATGCTATCTAACAGACAGCTCAATCTCACAAGTCCCACACTGAGCCCGATTCTACCTAACACCTGTCGAAGCCACACAGTCCCCCTCTCTTTCCCAGTTGCTCAGTTCAGTGCTTGGAGAAATCCCTGGACCTCACACCCCATGACCCACAACAACCCCCTGCTGACTTTGATTATGAGAAAGCTCTTTTCATCCATGCCACCGATGTCACCAATGCCATCTACTGCAAACCACTGTCTCCTCCCATCTGCCTGTACAGCCTGCTCCACAGAGCTTCTCATTGATTATAATTTTTAGTTCAGGGCATCCATTTTATGGTCATTAATTATATTTATAAAACTCAAGTTACTAGCAACAGGAAGTTGCCTACATATTGGTAAGAATTTAATCATATTCTGTGTCATGACTACAGAAGACAGAGATCAAATTATATGCAAATCTGAAAACCAGGAAGTTTGGACAACACAAAGTCAACAGCCAGTCACAAGGCTGGTTACTTACACTGTGAACTCCCAAAGCTTTCCAGACTGCAAAGCTGATCACGCCGACCCCACACCAGGCATAAAGAGATCCCCAGCCCAGGGCTCGAAGAGCAAGGGAAGACCCACTCTCTGGAAAGGCAGATGTGCTCATAGTGCCCTGGAATGAACACAGAAACCTTGGGTAAAATACTCAGTAAATATTCTGGAATTGTTTGGAGCAAATTACAGTTCTCCCTGTATAGACAGCCTGACCTGGGAGGCCAGCCCAGCCCAAGAGCAAAGGTCAAATGGCAGGCAGCTTTGCTACCTCTGTAAGCATGTGAGTTCTCTGATGGATATTTGGATGTGGGGCACTGTGGTCGTTTATCCTTCCAGGAAAGTCTGGAACATCCCATCAAGAGTCACTGGCCTTTGCATGAAAACTGCATTGGAGTAAATAGCTAATTTAATGAGGGATAGTGGATCTACAACACTGTCTTCCACCTGGAAAGATTATTTCACTTTACTATAGCTCTTACCAATTTTAGAGACTTCTTAGTGCAGGCCTTTCCTGTGCACATGTGCTGTGTGATGGCAGGTGCTACTCCTAGCAGCAATGCCTGTCTGCTAATCTGCTTGACAGAGCCTAACATTAAGACCAGATTGGTGGATTCTCCGTGCTTACTGATGGACACTTTTGGTAGATATCTCAGACTTAACAGGTTGTTGAAATTCTTCTTTAGCTGTTTTCTATTAGAAACACAATATTCTCTAGTATTTTACCCCATTTCCACATTGTGGTCATCTCTGCAGGCCCTCCTGCACCCTGACTTTTTTTTAAAATTTATTTATTTTTGCTTTATGTACACTGGCAGTTTGCTTGCATGTATATCTGTGTGAGAGTTATACACAGTTGTGAGCTGCCATGTGACACCCTGACTTTTAACTGGTCTCAATCCCCATCCAAAGGCAAGAACATCAGCTAATACTATTTTGTTAGGATCAGGTCCTATGCTTTGGCATCAGATAGCCATTTCCTCTCTGAAAAAAACAGAAATTTTACACACACACACACACACACACACACACACACACACACACTCTTCAAGGTCTACATAAATCCACATTTATTTTACTAAATCAAATACAAAGATAACCATATGAAGATAACTCAAGATTACACACAATATTCACAACAGAATCTCAGTTTTGCTTCAGAGTTCTAAGAACAGGTATGTCTTTTTTGTGTACTATCAGTCACCTAGCTTGTGAGGTGAAAACATTAATTATTGTTTCCATACTTCCAAAAATGGATTTTAGTGGAAGCTTAATGTTGAAGATTGATCTGTCTATCACATGTTTTTTCTTCTGGGAGAAAATAGCAAACTCTATTCATACTCTATGTTCAAAATATCCTAGATAATGTTGACTGACTTTCCACAGAAAAGATTTAACTCAACCAAAAAAAAAACCGATGTTTTATAAGAACATTAGCTATAGCTATGCACACAGTCAGTGTGTGTCTTGTGTGCAGGTATATATGTACATCATGCTCTGGCACGAGTGCATGCATGTGTACATACATATGTTTTAAAAGCTACATTCCCCTCCATTGTCTTGTTTTTTAAATTAAAATTAGGGCTTCCATATTTGGAAGTTGAATTGAATAAATTACAATGTAGTTAACTGTACTCAGTATTTCGAAAATACAAAGAATAGCTTATTTTCTAAATGAAAATAGAAAATGAAAAATCTGTGATTATAATATCTCTATAGCTGAGACCATGGATCCTGGCACTTACCAGAACTCCCTGAGAAAATGGGTAATAAGAATTGACATACCACTCACAAAGGTAGGAAGCACCATGAACAAACTGTCATTTGCCGAAGATCAACTGTGTAAGTCTCACATTTTAGCTTATTTCGGTGTAATCCTGGGATTTATTTTATGTAAACATCAAATGGGTTTTTAGGGAATATTCATATGGAGTAGAGATGGCCCCATAAATAAAGTCCTGCAGCATAAGTGTGAGGCTCTGGGTGTGGATCTCTGGCACTCACATAAAAAGCCAGGCACAGCAGTGTGGGCCTGTGGGAATCACAGCACTGGGAAGGTGGGGACAGGATGATCCCCCGGGCTTGTCTGCCACCAGTATCCAAATCAGTGAGGTCCAGGATCAGGGAAGAACATGTCTCAAAAATAAGGTAGAGGGAGACTGACATCTAGTATCTGCCTCTGGTCTCCATACATACAGCCCTGCCATGTACATAAGCATTCAGGCATACACATACATACACAGAGAGAGAGGGGGGAGGGGGGGAAATTTTATAGCATGCAATATAATTTTAAAGTTTTTTTTTTATCAGAAGTTAAAGCTATATCAAAAAGATGGCTGGCAGTCTGCTTTTTGTCCTACTCATCTACTCATAAGAGGGTTCTGAAATAACTCAGTTATGTGATGAAGTTCTGCCATGTCATTACTTTAGGTAAGTAAACTCCATGGATATACACATCAATTCTGTATTTTCAACTATTCTAACCAAATGGGAACATAATATGCAAATATTTTTCATATGTGGCACTTCATTTAGTCTCACAACCAGGCTATAAAACCAGTGTGTAAAAAGTACAGGTTTAAAAAATAATCTTGGAAGCCAGGCGTTGGTGACACATGCCTTTAATTCCAGCACTTGGGAGGCAGAGGCAGAGGCAGGCGGATCTCTGTGAGTTCGAGGCCAGCTTGGTCTCCAGAGCAAGTGCCAGGATAGGCTCCAAAGCTACACAGGGAAACCCTGTATCAAAAAACCAAAAGAAAAAAAAATCTTGGAGGGATGGGGACATAGTGTGTTGATAGCATGCCTGCCTAGCATGCCAGCCCTAGGTTCCATTCCTAGCACTTACAAACACACAGACACACATGTATCTGCCTATCCATCTGTCCCCCATGCTTTCTCTCTGTATCTCTTTGTGGTGTGTGTGCATTAACACATAAAAGGGGAATAATTTTTTTACTTTAGTTTGCACTTTGCATTTTCCCCTTTCTCTTTATTCAAGAAATTACAAAGGAAAATATATGTTCTCTCAACACTATTCTTTTTCAACTTTCAGCTTCCTAGTGTAAGACCAGTCAATCAGAAAATAAAGCACTAAGGGGATGATTATTCCCCTGGAATAGAAAAAGCGTAGGCGGTCCCCAAATGAAAGGTTGATCATTTGAAAGTCTTTTTGGGTTGCAATTTGAATCTGTTTCCAGGAGATCACAGCTTACTTAAATAAGAGTATTGCTGAAAGTGGTACATTTATCCCTTAGGGGGACAAAGAGGGAGTACCATGTTGTACCAATTGCTTAATCCATGTGTGCCTCAGTGTCTAGCTGTTTAGTGGGAATAGCATCCAGCGTGTCAGTGGGCTGGGCTGTGTATTAAATGAGTGAGGCCCTTGGAAGAGCAGCTAACACACAGTAAGCATTCAGGGTTAGGGACTAGTACTGGGAATGGGAGAGAAGACCTCCAGTGGTGACGCCACAGCCTACATGACATTCTTGAATGGGTGCTCAGTATGAACTTAGTAACCACAAGCTGTCAGGCAATCATCTGGAAAGTGGGGATTTGCTAATTTCAACATTTCCCCGTATAGGGCAAGCTTACATTACGATTTAGCCACTCTATGCAGTGTTTCTAAAGTTTAATTATATATGGGCCCCAAAGATGTTCAAGTATGTGGGCCTTATAAGTATCTAATGTTAGAAATTAAAGCAGAAATTTATACTTTATTCATGCCAAATCCATTATATATTGCTAGAAATCCATTTTTACATTAAAAGAACTATCTTTCCAACTCCCCCAAAAAGCACAGAAGATCCATGTTTTATGCTTTTGTTAATCTTTTAAATGTCCAGCCTAAAAAGTGGCTTTTCATAGCTATAATCAATCTTTTGTAAAATGTTTTCTTATATTTTTCACTGATAGTTGAAATATGAATAAAACTCTGGCCTCACACAGGTGTGTGGTTAGAAAGAGAAGTATTTGATTAGCTTTTTTTCTTTGTAATATACGAGTACTGAACAAAAACAGTCTTCTGAAGGTTGGTTGTCATAGGAAGCCCTATTAGTGAAGAAAATTTGCCGTTTGTAATGTTCAAATCACTGGTCAACTTTGCATTTTGAACAGACACCATTCCACGAAGAGTGACTATTTCACACAGACTGACTAATCTACGCAGAGTGACTATTCGGAGGGTACTAGCTTACTAAGTCATACAGATCTCTCAACTGCTGATCTCATGTTAAAGAGTATTTTAAAATCAGCACTGAAATCATAACGTCTCAACAGCGAAGCTTTTAATATTGAGAAGCTGTCAAGTTCGTGATGGTAGCTATCACAAGTCTCACTGTTTTTACTTGAAAGCTTCTTATCAGTGGCAACCAAGACTGACAGCTGCTCTCCTGAAGAGCCAGGCTTACTTGTGTGTTTAAGGAACCACCCCACTTCCGAGTAACCGAAGTCGGTCTGTTGTTCCTTCACAAAGAAGCTACTCCATGGGAAGACTGCTGGTTCAGCTTGTAAGCATATCTCCCACCTCTCATAGGAATCTTAAAAGTCGGGCATATCCAAGTCTCATCATTGAATAAAGTTAATAACTTTACTACTTCAACAATGATAATTACCTAGTGCTGGTTCTTTTAATTTTGTTTAAAGTACTGGTGAATTACAATGAAGGACGCAGTGACCACAAGGACGGTTTTGTGCCATTGCTGCCATGCATGCCAAAGTCCGTAGCACCCACTTTAATACTTTATCCACTGCTCGTGCAATCAGCGCCTGTCTCTAAACATGAATAGGGAAACAGTTGTCTCAAGGACCATCAGGGTTCTGTGGACCACAGTGTAACCCTGTGTTAGATCATAAATGGCACTCGTGATGATCCAGCCCCAGAACAAAACAAAGCACCAAGTGTTAGCATGTAGGAACAAGACAATCCCTAGCTCTCATCAGATTCTTGATTAGCATAATAACTGTGGTTTGGAAATCAAACACAACTCACTGTTAAACACCAATATTGGTTGGGTCTTAATGCCACAAAATAAATGTCTTCTCTAAAAACATTGCATGATATAGGGAGAAAATGACCCACAAGAGCCACAGAAATGATCTTAGTAGCTCCATAAGTCTTTAGGGTATTGAAAGAGAATTGAAAGGCATTTTGGATACAGTCTCTTGTCATTACAGTATCCATAAAGGCTTAATAAGTATGATTATGACAGGTAAGTGGGAAGAGAATTGGTTTGTGGATTTTTTCACATAATATTCTTCCATAGCACACATCAAACTAATTACATAGTTATTCATATGAATGTCTAATTTTGTCTCTCACAGCAGACACTTAAGTTCCTGAGGGACAACCATACTATTGATCTTTATACCCTTTCCACCTCAGTAGTAAAGTGCCTGAAACATAAAAGATCCCAAGGAAACATTTTCTGAAGTGATGAAGTAATGAATAAATCAGTCATATGGATGGGAGGGGAAAAAGAAAACACGATAAGCAACTACATATAGATATCAGAACATTTCGCACCAACCGGGGAAAGTAGGTACATGACATCACACAGCAAATGTACACTCTGGCTAACAGAATACAGATCTTCTGTCTCAAGCGGGTTATAGCTATTCATCCAATGCTTTCTGAGCAACTATTCTGAGCACATATGTGCCAGGAGCTTTATAGTGACGGAGGCTGAACAACATCTGCTCCTTGCATAAAAAGAAGACAAATTTTTTCACTCATCTTAAAGAATTTTAACATTTTAACATCTATGAAATAGACACACTTCTTGCAACCAGCATCAACAGTTTAAGTGACACTGTTTTTCTTTCTAAGCAGGGTCTCTTGTTATTAATAATAAATTACTAAGAGTGGGAAAGGCAATGGATAAGTTTCCAAAGTTTTGTTCTGTTAATTTTAAGAAAGCATACGAAAAAAGTCAAGACTGACAACACGTATACTTCTTAAATCCATGAGGTTTTGTGGGTGTATTTTTGAAAACAGTGTGAAAGGTCACTATTTTTTCCTATGCAAGAAATCTGTACTTTGTTAAAAAACAATAGCAATGCTATGAATAGATTTTTGAGTCACAAACCTTATTGAACCATTCAGGGCTTTTCTTTTTAGCTAATGATAATGTTGTAACAAATCCGGCTAGCATTCCCGCTGCTGCTGCAGAACCGAGGAAAATTCCACCTGCCAAGAATTGGGATAAGGTATTAAAAATAAAGTTTAAACGAAAAAGATTTTCACATGTAAGTCTCAGATACTTTTATGGTTGCATTCAAAATTCGAAACATCAAGGTCAAGTGGCTCCTGAGAAAACCTCAGTGACCTCACGACCTCGGGTTCCTGGGGACACTCTGTGAAGCACGGCTCTCCGGGGCTGAGAATGGGTGTTTTCCCTTCTCCCTGTCTTCTAGGACAGCAGCGTCAAGTTGCAAAAGTGGCAATCAGAAAAGAGCAGGTACGAAGAAAATCTATAGAGAGGGCGGGTAAATACAGCATGGACTCGAAACTGCCCGCCCCCTGCCCAAGGAAACTTCACCTGGTGAGTGACGTTTGGGCCCGCAGGCTGAGTTCCGGGTAAAGCCCAAGATAAGGGCGGAATGAGTTCGAGAACATCCCATTCCAGTGCAGGGCAACCATACCTTTAATCAGGAAGAGTCGATCGTCCTGGGACCCTGGAGCGTCTAGTGAGGAAGATTCCCCAGGACCAGAATCCGCGGTGTCCATGTTTAAAGTCCCTTCTACCTTGTCCATTTCCAAAGAGGACCGAGTGAAAGTGCACGGGAGAGAGAAGAAAGGTTCCGCAGCAGCGTTCCCTGTGCAACCTGAAGATGGGTCCTCTAACACTCTCCTAGAAGACACCAGAGAGCTGCTCTGCGTCTCCAGGCCAGAGCCGAGGGCGGCGTCCTACAAGAAGGCCTCCCTGGGAGGATCACTCGCCTTCTGCGAGGTGATGATTCGCCGGACTTGAGTATTTTGTGTACTTGAAAGCATACTCAGCTCCGACTCTAGGAGGCAGTGAGGGGTCGCAGATGGAGCCGGGAGCCAGGTTTCCGCCTGGCTGGGATCCTGGAGCTCAGTTTACCATTCGGCCGTACACTATATCCAAAGGTTTGGCCTACGCTCACATGCCACGATTCTAGAAGGCAAGCCTCAGCGTTTCCCCCTTTTCTTTCTGAGAAATTCCGGAGTAGTTGTTTCTTCAGATTTAAGTGACGTGCCCAATCCTGGAAGAGAACCAGCCTACCAGCTGCGAAGCACACGCCTTCCCGACGATCTGATTTGCCCGCCAGCAGTGGGCGCGCGGAGCAAGCTAAATGAACCGAACCAGCCCAGACAGCGGAGCACAGGAGTGTGCTCTCAGGGCTTGTTAACGCTGGCTCCAAGGCTGCGCTGGGGTTGCTGTGAGCCTTAGCACCCTGCAGGCAGGCCTGATGGTTACAGTATGGGAGGGCGATGTGCCAGTGGCGGGGGGGGGTTAAGGAGGCCAGTGGGAAGCAGCAAATGTTTTCAGCCGCTCAAAGGAAGGCAGGAGACTCATGACATCATTTTTTTAAATGATGGCAGCCGACTTGCCACTTTTTCTGATCAGGCTTGGGTTTCTTGAGGGTGGAGGTGGGGATCTATATACATTTCATATTCCCCTGCTCTCAGCGTATTACCTAGTCATGTATAATAAGTGCGCGTCAGAAAAGTGAGCAAATGTGTGCATTGGGTTTTGCAGGAGTTAAATGCATCTATTAGCTCAAACCTGCATTCAGATCCTAAAGCACTTCCCATCTGTGAGAACTTGGTGTTACACAGTTTCTCGTTACCTCGTTTCCCTGTTTTGTCAAATGTGGAAACAGTACCTCAAAGGGTTTCTGTGGAAATTAAATGAAGGGTGTGTGTGTGTGTGTGTGTGTGTGTGTGTGTGTGTGTGTGTGTGTGTGTGTTGTACATTCCTCTCAACCACTTGGAAAGCTGGTACAAGTGGATCATAAGTTCAAATCTAGCCTAAGTTACAAAATAAGATCCAGCTTCATGGATTTGTTTGTTTTGTTTTGAGGTGTGGATGTGTGTGGTGGAGTTAGCATAGCATCTGCCATAGATAATAAATGTTCTAATTGCTGTCACCATTGATCCCAGTAGTTTCTTTAATGTTAACTTATGAAAAGTTATAGTAGCTCAATTTCTCCCACTGGAGATTATATCTCTGAAAGTCTGGGGGTACCATGAGATTCTGATGGTTGGTTGGGATGAGGACCACTACTCTGTTTCTGTGTGGTTTGGCCTTTGGGTTCCTTAGAAGTCCAGTTTCAGAGTCTGGGGTGGCTTGTTAAGAGCAGGCAAATGCTGTGCTAACTTGTTCAAACATGTGCGGGCTTACCCTTCTTCTTTCCGGTCATATAATAGTGACCATCGCTGCTAGTGTACCAGGTGCTTCCTATATGCCCTCTTTATATCTTTGTGAATCTCTATTCAGAGGTGGTAGAACCTTTGAACTCTGAGGCCTACTGGTATGCCCAATTAATCCAGCTTTGGCTAACCAAGAGGAACTGTGGGATCATAGCCCCACCTTCTCCCTGTCCTTGCTCCCTTCAAGACAGCATGCAGGTGAGTTCCAGAGCAGCCTGGTCTACATAGCAAGTTGCAGGATAGTCAGGGCTATACAGAAAGAGCAGAAAAAGATATGAGTGTTTTTGTTGTGTTACCTGTTCTCATCATGAGGTGGATGAGAAAGGACCCTTGCCCACAGCTGTGTTTTTTGTTCACTTGCAAAATAAATGAACATAGGACATCCACCTTATCTGGGCCAACAAATCATGACTGGAGCCTCCAAAATTGAGCAAAAATAAACCCTTTCTCTTTATATGTTAATTACCTCAAGTACCACACTGGACATAGTGTTTCAAACGATCTGTTTCATTTAATCTTCTCTATAAACCCAGAAAGAATAACTCACTCAAGTGCACACAGCTGTTGAGGGGGCAGAGTCGGGTTTTCAAAGCAAGTTCTTACTGATGAACAGGTGCTCTTCACCTGAGCTTAATCCCTGGCCTTCTCTGGAAGGGCTTGGTGATCACAGACAGCTGGCCCCATCCCAGAGCATCTGAGTTGGTTAAGACCTAACAACTTGCATGTCTATAAATGGAGAGCCCCATAGATCTGTCTCTCTGTCTGTCTCTCTGTCTCTCTGTCTATCTGTCTCTCTGTCTCTCTCTGTCTCTGCCTCTCTCTGCCTCTCTCTCTCTCTCTCTCTCTCTCTGTGTGTGTGTGTGTGTGTGTGTGTCCCACCAACACACAAACTAATTTCAAGGATTATATTACTGTTTACCATAAGGACTTGAAGGGGAGACTGTTGTGGAATACTTTAACTATGTAAAGGTGTGTTACATTTGTTTATGCTGCATTTGTTTAACAATGTAAAAAAGATGTGCTGCCTTGCCTGCCTAAGGCACCTGATTGGTCTAATAAAAAGCTTAATGGACAATAGCTAGGCAGAAGAGGGATAGGCAGGGCTGGTGGGCAGAGAGAATAAGTAGAGGGGGAATCTAGGATCCTGAGGGGAGAGAGGGGGAAAGGGTAGAGAGAACAAGGATAACAGAGAGGGAAATGCCTAGGGCTATCCAGCCAGGCAGCTGCTAGCTAGCCAGACAGAGAATAGGACATATAGAATGAAAGGTAAAAAGCCCCAAGGCAAAATGTAGATGAAGGAAAACAGATTAAATAAGTTATAAGAGTTTTAGGACAAGCATAAGATAAGGCTGAAATTAATTATTGATAATAAGTCTCAGTGTCTTGATTTGGGATCTGGTTGGCGGTCCAAGAGAGCCTGCTACAGGAGACCATGTTTAAATCTAGGGAACTTGCAGAGTCCTGTGCCCAAGAGCCTGCCTCATTGTGTGAGTGCCTTCAAACCCTGTGTGACCCCAGTCTGGTTTTATAATGGCGTTGGCACCGTGCCTGGCTCTATGACAGCTTTCTAGAGCCTCAGAAGCCCTTGAAGATCAAGGACAGGAATTCCTGGCTCTGTGATTGGGACCACATTCCAAGCATCCCAGTGAGAACACTGAAAAGAAACATTTCTTGAAGATAGTGTTGTCCAAGGTCTTCTGTGCACACTATCAGGAACTTCATGTGTAAGTCGATGGGCTGGCTTTAGGAATTTTTAAAATTTATTTTTGTTTTCATTTGATGTCTGTATCTATGTGAGTATATGGTGTGTGTGTGTGTGTGTGTGTGTGTGTGTGTGTGTGTGTGTGTGTGTGTGTCAGGAGGCTGGAAGAAGGTGTAGGATCTCTTGGAGCTAGAGTCACAGGTTGTTGTGTGCACCTTGCATGGGTGCTAAGACCAAACAGGTTCTTTGAAAAGTGGCAAGTGCCCTTAACCCCTGAACCACTCCAGCCCCCACCCCCTTTAAGCAACATCCCGTTTGGATTTGTTTCTGTGGGAAAACAAGAGACAAGCTCCATATAGGTGATTTGCAAGCCTCCAGAGCAGTCTCTTGTCAGACAGGAAGCTTTCTCTCTACATAGCAAGACAGCACGTCTTCAAGGGGGATGCAGAGGTGAGGCAGAGCCTTCTTTGTTTTTTTTTTAATAGCTTTTTAAAAAGAGACTTATTTATTGTATATATAGTCTTCTGCCTGCATATATGCAGGGCACCAGCTCTCACTATAGATTGTTGTGAGCCACCATGTGGTTGCTGGGAATTGAACTCACAACCTCTGGAAGAGCAGCCAGTGCCCTTGACCTCTGAGCCATCTCTCCAGCTGCAGGATGTAGAGGTGAGTCAAAGGGCTTTGTTGTGCCCTGAAATGTCATCACAACTGTCAACCTCAATGGATGCCCAGTTCCCTTTTAGACACATGCAATGAGATGTCCTGCGGGAGGAGGGTGCTGGGAAAGCGAGTTTATCCAACAGAGACATTCTTGTCGTTCTGGTGTCTGACTGAGTCAGCTAAAAGTCCACACCAGCAGCGAATCTGACCACATTCTTATTTCACACTCCGATTGGCTTCTGCTCTTTCTCTCATCAATTTGGAGTTTCAGTCATTCTGTGTCTAAAGTCTGAGGCAGGATTATTTTAAAATCCAGTAAGGGTCATGTATTGGCCATGTCAGTTTCAATGCTGCTTGGTGTGAAATAGTTGCCGCAACTCTAGGGCAGAGGTCTCTAAACGTTGTTGCCTAATTAAGGGCACACATAGAGAAAGGCCTGCTAAATTTGAGTCACAGAGTTTCCTTTGAGAAAAAGAGGAAGTGAGCTTTCTATGTGTAATACTCAGCTTTCTACCACTTTCTACCATAAATAAGTAAAACACTGACCAAAGCAACATGTTCATACATTTGTATAATGTTGGGAATTATTATATCAAGGGGTGCGCATTGACCTAGAGAGTGGAAAAAATAAAGAAGATGTGTAGTTTTTAAAATGTACTACCTTGTATAAAAGACAAATTTTCTGATTTAAATACAGGTTTCCAGGATAGCTCATCAAACTGGATCCTGGTGACAACATTCTTGGAAAGCAAGGAGCTGGAAGCATTATGTCATGAGGAGAAAGCCCGGGCCACCTGGTGAGCCTGTATGGTACTCGCCTCCCTCCATTCAGGGTTCTTGGATTCTTTCCAGTAGCTGCACCAGCTCCCCAGGGCTGTATCTACCTTGAAGTGCACTACCACAATCAATACAGTGCAATATCAAGAGTAAGTACAGCTATAATTTCCCTGGAATGAGCTGAAGCCAGGGGATGGGGCGGGGGAGGAACTCATTATTCTTTCCCGGTATCTCCTTACTTATCTTTCCGAATCCCATTCTGTAACTCTCCCAGGTTGACTAATATGTCTGTCTTCATCACAGTAAATGAAAGTTGCCATTGCAGAGTTTTCCTTTCCATTTTTCTTTCCTGGCTCTTTCTATGAGATCAGCTGAATTGTGACTCTTAATGGTCATCTAAGAATCCTCTTCACAACTATTATATTTTGCAATTTATCAGATACATACCATTTCCTTCGACTGTGTTCCTTTCTCTCGTGAGGATCTGTTCTTTAGGACTACTTTCCAAGTCAGCTGCCACCATCAACAGGAGTTCTACTCGAGCCCATCGGGCCTGTAGACTGTTTTCATCCCCTTATAGAAGGAGGGAGGAAGGGGAGGCCATAGAACCCTCATCTGAGTATCCAGGTTCCCCTCTCAACCAGCTGTGTGTAAGTTTGCCCTAGCTACATGTGGTCTTGGGGGAGGAGATAGAGGATGAAGATTGGGAAGGATGAGGGGAGGGGGTTCCATCACTCAGCCCTGGGAAAGCCATCAACCTTGCTGGATGTAGACCATCCAGTGTGGCTATTTTAAGGTAACCGATTACCCATCTCTTTGTAATAAACTACCAGTAAACTCATTGGTCTCTAGGGTGAACTCTGGTGCAGTCAGACATATTTGCTGTTAAGATCTGTGATATCGACCACCTGTGTTCACTAAGTGGTTATTGGGAATATTTTATTTATATTAATGTTTATGTCCTAACATGATATATTAGAGATTATTAACTGCATAAGATACTTGGAATCCGCCCGGCGTTGATGGCACACGCCTTTAATCCCAGCACTCTGGAGGCAGAGGCAGGCGGATCTCTGTGAGTTCGAGGCCAGCCTGGTCTACAGAGCAAGTGCCAGGACAGGCTCCAAAGCTACACAGAGAAACCCTGTCTCAAAAACAAAACAAAACAAAACAAAAAGATACCTGGAATCCTAGCACTTAGGATGTAGAGGTAGGAAGATCAGGAATTCAGGGTCATCTTTGGCTACATAGTGAGTTCAAAGTCAGCTTGGACTGCATAAAACCTTGTGTCAAAACAAAACAAAGTAAGCTTCAGTCTCACCTGTGACAAATGACTACATTATTGACATTGAAGTTGCTTTTCCCACTCATGGCATGTGTTTTCCAAGCATCCTATATGGTCTTAGGTTCTGAGTTTACTCTGGTGAAGTGCAGAAGCAGGACTTTGCTTGTTGGATCTTACAGAGCCAGGCTTTAGCTTTCTAAGTAGTGGGACTTCCTTAGAAATGCCTTCGTCATTGATAATTGTTTCAACTGAAAGTCTTGTACTCTGTACCTCCATAAGTGGTCTGTTCCTGGTTTGCAAAATCTGCGGGATTTCACCTCTGACTATCAACTAGCACATGTGAGGCAATGGAAGTCCAGGAGATAGGTATGCATATGTACCAAACCTGGGCTGTGAGTGCTCAGCATGTAGAAGGCACAGCAAGAGGAGAGGCTGCTTTCTATAAGTAGGTGTGCCAACTGGGATCTGTGTCAAACACCCAGAATCAAGTAAGCTTCTCCTGGGGGATGAAGCTGCTAGAGGGTCAAGGCAATAGAGGCTGTCAATCAAAGTGCTCTCGTTGTGAGATGAAATGGGATTTCTAAATAGGTAATATGGTGGTTTGAAAGAGAACAGCCCCCAAATGGAGTGGCACTATTAACAGGTGTGACTTTGTTGGAGTAGGTGTGGTCTTGTAGGAGGAAGTGTGTCACCATGGAGGCAGGCTTTGAGGGTTCATAGATGCCCAAGCCACTCCCAGTGAGAACAGTGCACTTCCTGGTGCCTTTTGCTCAAGATGTCGCCAGCACCATGTATGCCTGCCTGCCGCTATACTCTCCTCCATGATAATAATGGACTGAACCTCCGAACTTACAGCCAACTCAATTAAATGTTTTCCTTTATAGGAGTTGCCATTGTCATGGTGTTGTGCTCAAATTCTGAACCCCAAAATCACCAAGAGTCCCATCTTGATGCAAAAGCAATGAGTCTTTTATTGCAGTTGTTTAAGGAGCTAACCCCATTAGCTTGGACCTTTCATCCATCGATCACAGCACATGGCTGGGGAAAGACCCCAAGAAACCACGGGACAGAGATCTTATAGGACAGCGTAAGAGGAGTATCTAGGGCTATGCACTGGCTCGGGATTGGTATGCCTCCAGGCCTGTAGGACTTGCCCTGTGTTGATTGGTCAACTGGTTGTTATGGTCTATAGGACCACCCAGGGTGGTTGCTATGCTCTGTATGTCACTGCTGTGCACTTGTCCATAAAGCACACTTAGAGTCATAAAGCATAGCCCCACTAGCTAACTTCTGATTGGTTCCTTGCCACAAGGTGGACATCTGACCTCCTAGTGACCAAGGAAAGGTCAGGCAAGCATGTGTTAGGCTGTTATGGCTGCCAAACGGGGAGCTGGTCCCTTCAGTGTCACACCTGTTCATGGGCAGCAGGTTCCAAGCCTAGGCAGAACTGATGACCCAGAGATGGTAACTCTAGGTATTTGTACAAGTTAAGGTAATTGCAAGACACAAATATAGTTAAACTAGCAAAGCAACCACAAAGAGCTTGGAGAGAATGGGGACAGAGTCAAACACACTGACACTGGGCCCAAGGCCCAAAGGGAAGCCAATGGGATGCACATGCTGAGGAAGGTCAGGATGAAGGCTGGATCCACCTGACAAGAGTGGAGGGTACAGGAGATAGAGAGGACCAACAGGGCCCTTACCTGCAGTTGGTCACTTGCTCATCTGCATGAGGGGGAATATGTGGGCTGGAATCCAGCTGGCATTCTGTTCACCAAGCCCTGTACAGGTTCTGGAGCTGGGCTGCATGTGGGGAAGGGACATGTTCCCCACGTTCATAAGACAGTTACTCTTGGGCCAGTATTGACTTTGGGCAAGTGCTAAATGTGTACTCTAGGGCTAGAAGCCAATTATAAAGTCAACTGTTGAAGTATATCATTGTGTCTTATCTCTCTCTCACTTTCTCTCTGAGTCTACAGTGTTCATGCTAGAGTCTTAGAAGCAAACATTGAGTTAAAGAACCTACTCATTAGGTCATAGTGGTTTGTACACAATGTCTCCTCTCAAACTATTTGAATTTTTGTTATTTGGGTGGGGGACATAATGTAGCCTTTGGACAGTTTTTTTTTTTTTTTTAAATAATTCTGGCTTACCCATAGTCCTCTCCACATCATGAGAGAGGTGTCTGCAGTTACTTCCCACTGGGGCTGCCTGCTCCCGGTCTGGCAATGTTTTGCTGCATTTGGGCTCCTTTGATTTATTCTTGCTCGTGGAGTGATACCCTGTGAGAATACGATGAGCCAGCCTCCAAGAATATTTCAGTCCACAGTAAATTACACGCCAGCTAGACACTGGTGTTTTATTTAGGTCAACTTGTGCAGGGCCCAATGCCCTTTTCAAAAACATTTGAAGCATTTGATGGATTCATTGCCGAGTGCACTATAAATAAATAAAATGTAACCTCAAATTCCAGACATGGAAAATGATGCGTGAGGGGCTACAACAGAGCCAGCTCTGTGAACAATGACCCTTTCAAGGTGACAAAAAAAAAAACCACCAAAAACAAACATGGATTGGTTGTTGGAAATCCAAGGTCAAGTCCCCAGCTCTGCTGGTGACAGAGATTAGCCTGTCTCCATGTCTATCAGTATGTGCTCTATTTTCTTCCTCTGTAATTTGGGGGGAATCACATAGCTGACAACTCTCTCCAAGTATATGTTGGGGTCATGCCAGTTCCTGAAGCTGCCATGCATTACCTGGAAACACACATGCACACTCACCCACTTCCCTCTACGCCTCACAATATTTCATAATGAAATAAGTTTGACAAACAAAATCTAACAGATTTCTCACCCAGGGCTTCTCAGAACCTTCAGGAAGAGGATATAGGAAGCTACAATTCTCTCATTAGACCATAGAAACCTTTGTTCAGGGGCATCTCATGGGCTCATGTATCCTATGTGTAGTTCCAGAAATTAAAAACAAAACAAAAACTAGTTGGTGGCTAGGATTCTAAGAAGTCCCTAAGCTGCAGACAGCTTTTATCAGAGAGAGAGAGAGAAAGAGAGAGAGAGAGCCCACTCCCCTCCCTCTTGTAACTCCTGTCATATCTAATATTCAGAGATGTCACCATTCTGCAATTTTTTTTTTTTGTGGGCCAGAACAGTAGCAGGAACAATAAAGGCCAGATCTCATGACAGGGATAGAAAATATCCTTCTAACTTAAAACAAAAACACTGTCTCTTTCCCATATCAAGTCAGTGAGTTTTTAGTTTAGAGTCATTCAGGTTCTAAGAGAAGATGAAGTTTTATAGGGGGATGGGCAGGCAAAAAATCTACTCCATTCCCATCAATTAGGAACAAAAATGCAGTCCCCAAAGTACATTCTAAATAGTGGCATGGAGAAGCCAAAATAGACTGACGCACAGTAGAATTAGACGCCCTATTTCAAGCCCTGCTGCATGTTTATCCTTGTTTGGCTGCCTCTTCCAGAGTTGCATGACTATGGTAATGAGAATGACCTTGGATCCTGCAGCTGATCATCTCAAATCCGGCAAAGATTGTTCTTCAGTTCCTTTCATCGCAAGTGTAGCCTCAGGCCCATGCTTTGGCGTACCTTCTACCTTGTACCTCTCCTGAATTCATCAGGTGTTCTGCTGTGATGGGAGCAATGCACCATGGGAAACGCAGTCACACCCTTAGCTTCAGAGGAAAAAAACGATCAGAGGCAGCCTGAGTTACAGAGGTCCTCAGGTCTCATTGGGACCCACTTGCCCTGGACAAACCAAACTGATCAGAGTCACCACCAGGCCCAGCGACTTCATTCCCATGGCAGCTATGTGCTTTGGGGATCCATGGCATCTATAATCTAGCATCTTGGCTGTGCCTTCTGTCCTGAAGGTCTATCTGCTCATCTGTCTCTGAGTGCTTCGGCAGTTGCTCCATGTGGGCTTCTGTTCAAATCTGCTTTCTCTGCAGGGGTGGTCTGAATAGGAATGGCCCCCATAGACTCACAATACTTGCCCTAGGGAGTGGCACTATGAGGAGGTGTGGCCTGGTTGGAGAAAGTGTGTCACTGCAGGGGCGGGCTTTGAGGTCTCATGTGCTCAAGCTATGCCCACTGTGGCTCACAGTCTCCTTTTGTCGCCTACCGATCAAGATGTAGAACTCGCAACTCTTTCTCCAGCACCATGTCTGCCTGCACGCTTCCCTCCATGGACTAAACCTCTGAAACTGTAAGCCAGCCCCAATCAAGTGTTCTCATTTTTAAGATTTGTCGTGGTCACAGTGTCTCTTCAACAGCAATAAAGCCATAACTAAGACATTTGGCTTCTAAACTTGCTATCTGTCTTTCCCAGGAATCTCACTGGCCCTCTTAGAATCTTTGCTAGAATGGGGGAGGCAAACCCTTCCTCATGTGAATCATTTCGTGTGATTGTATCCTTGCACACCCACACTCAGGGCAGAACCAGGGAAGTGAGCAGCTAATATGCCAGCCACTGCCACTTCTTCTCTCATCACACATCCTGTGGAAGCCAAGTTCCTCACAAGACCATTGAATGGTTGGCTCTCATTTTTCATATTTGTAGTTAGTTTGGATGCCTCTGCTTCACACTCTGTCCAGTCCTTTGGGAATTCCATTCCCAGAGTCAGATCTTCTAAGTCTTTATTTGGCCCTGTTCACCCTGCTCTACTCTAGGCATCGCATCCAGGATGGACCATGTGATAGACGGGTCTGGCAACACTAATGTGCATTGCAGTGCAGTGCAGCATGAGTCTGCTCTTCATGTAGTAGACATTCCTGGCCAACTTTCTTAGCATTATTAATAAGGCTGCCTTTGAAGCTAGAAAGCACCTAGATTCAAAGGATGAGCTACATGACATGGAAGGTGACACCTGAGGCCATACCACAGTCTCTCTCCCCAGTCATGGCCATTTCAACATGTTGACAGGCAACTGGCACCTGGATCAGAACAATAGGTAACTAAATGGATTCAAGTGTATGTGATAGCAAGGTACACAGTTAGGGTATTTCAAAGTAGTGGAGGAAATTTTAAAAGTGTATTGGTCAGTTGTCTAATATCTAGGGAAAAAATTTGATTTGTATCTTATGGGACAAGGAAACCATTTAATAAAGGAAAGAGTACACACACACACACACACACACACACACACACACACACACACACACACACACACACACACAAACAAACACACACACACACTGGAATACACCCTTTACTGGGGAACTTTCTAAGCATGAGCACAAATAAATAAATATAGATTAATTTGGCTATATACAAATCTGGAAAGATTTCTGTGGCAGAATTTGAGCCTTTAATTCCACTTCTTAGTTACTCCCCTTTGTGTTTGGAGTAGCAAGTTCTGGCCATGGGACATAGCAGGGATCACATGGTGTTGTCTCTCCTTCTGTCTTCCTGCGTCACAGACATGATGGCTAATGCTATAGCAGCCATGTGTTGCCTCTAAGCTGACAATCAGAAGATGCCAAGAGAGGGCAGGGCTGTGAGCATTCATGTTGTCAACTGTTGTGACTCAGTCTGGCAGCAGCCTCTGCATCGGCTATTTGTTATGTGAGATGATAAGTTCCTTATTTCAGACAGTAGAGTTGGACTTTCTGTTGCTTGGCATCAGATTCATTCCCCTCTGAGTCCAAATTTGAGGGAAAACACAAATAACAGAAAAATGCTTGCATTGTTCATCACAAAAATTAATTTCCTGTAAATATGAAAACTTCTATAAATAATAAGATAGAGTTGGTCTAACCCTGAAAGAGCAAAGAGTAGGAATAGGAACATAAAAAAATAAGTAACTCAAATAATAAGTTCAGTAAAACCCTCAGCTTTACTAGTAATTAGAAAAATACAAGTTAAAGCAACATTTTAATGGCTTTGCCACCAACAAACTCTGCAAACCCTGGGAGAAATGGACTATCTTCCAGAAAGCAATCTGGACAAATGTATTGAAAGGTCAGTAATGGCCATTCCCTTTTGTTGGAACATGGTCCAAGAATGGAGTTGTGTGAGGAGAATTCTGGGTACTTGTGAGAAAACTCCAAAGAAACAAGACAAGAGTCTTGTGACCTCAGTTTCTTCAGAAAAACATGTTTTGCCACGTGGGCTTGAACTCATGAGAACTTCACTCACGTGATCGTTCTTAACCCTCAGGGTATAAACTGTCTGATGCTCTGAATAAAGCTGGCTGTTGCACCAGGCTTTACTCTGTCTCATTTTTAGGCCTCACACCCTCAGGTTCCACCACCTTTAGAGAAGTGATCACCCTTTGGGAATCTGTGTGCAGTAATAGTTGATGAAGTGCAAGAATTTGCTATGAAGATATTCACAGAAGTACTGTGGATAACTACAAAATAGTGGGGGCTATCGGCAAAGAGAACTTTGCTTAAATGGATTATAGGACTTCCCCAGGTACCCCAAACATGCAGCTATTAGTCTGCAGCCAGGATACATTTGTTGACACCCAACTATGTTCATTATTCATTATTAAGTGAACAGCAGATTGACAGACATCAGTAAGAATGAAGTAATTTTGTTTTCATTATAAAATGAGTTTACATATTTACATGTGTCATAAATAGCATGGAAGAAAATACATTAATATCTTTCACATTATTCCTGGGCTTGATCCATATTTCCTGTTTCTTACCTGTATATAAACATATGTTGCTTATGGCTCATTGGGCAAAGGTACTACTCAGAGCTGAGCCTGTCAAATCTGATTCAACCCCACAGTTTGACATGGTGGAAGGAGAGAACTCCCGACTCCCACAGGTGGCACACCCACACACAATGAGTGTGATGACAGAAGCTTTAAAACATGTAAGTTTTTAAAGCGGGGAAGGTAGCACACCACTGTCCTAGCAGGACTTGGAAAGGCAAAGCAGGAGGAATATGATTTTGAGGCCAGTCTTGTCTACATAGCAAGATCCAGGCCAGTTCCACACACACAGCGAGACTCTCATTCACAACAACAAAACATGTGCAAGTTTTAAATTAGGAAAATCACTCCAAAAATAGTTCTTGGTGAACACAGGGAGTTATGGTTTCAATGGGTTTGGTTGAGATACAGTGAGATGTTTGGCCCACAATAAGGATACAAGAATATCCCAAGATGCTCCTGCAGGTCCCACCCAGGTATAATTAATACTTCATACACAGATAGAGTCTGCTTCCCTTTCAGCTTCTGCTTAGTATGTTCTATCCTGGATGGTGGACAGTGCTGCATGCTGTCTGCCTGAGGCCCAACCTTCTGTTCTAATGGTCCCTGCTTTCAAAGGACTCTGCATTTCTCTGTCATGATCTAGAGCAAGTAATTTAAAATTGAAGTCTCGAGGAATAACTTTATTTCTTTTACTTCCAAGATTGGGCTAGGGGCCATGAAACTATATACCTTCTTATTGGCAGAGGAGCAAGCATTCGGCTCTTCTAGACAGGTAATGAGTGCTTTGTCGTAAGAAAAGAAGAGGTAGATGGATGTTTCCCACAGCTGGCTCTGCCAACCACTGTGCTGACACACTGTTTTCAAACTTACCGATTTTCCTAATGCATGGAGCCGGGAACAGGGATTGCATCTCAGTTACTGGATGCCTCTGTCTCGCTTCCACACAATACTGAAAACGACTGTTTCCCTTAAGGGCCATCATCAGTGTGACCTTTCAGAGCTCACACGTGCCAGCTGGAATTTCTCCAGGCCTCCTTTTTAAAAAAAAAAACAAAAAACAAAAAACAAAAAAAAAACAAAACAAAAAACAAAACAACGAAGGAAAGTATTTTATTAAACTAAGAGAAAGACTGACAGGGAAGTAGGTTGCATGGGGAAAATAGTGAAATTTATTATAATTATATCTATCGCCTAGGGGCCCAACAGAAAGTGGAAAATCTCTCAGCTAGGTTAGCAAAGTCTCTCTCATGAAGGGACTCTTTACAGTGTCTTGACGGGGCTCAGGGAACCCAGGAGAGGGGTGAGGCTGTCCAGAAACTGTCAACAGTAGGGGATGTAAGAGATTGTGAGCTAAAGAAACAAGCTAAGGGTGAGACTGAATAGGAACAGCACGTTGTGTTCCCTGCTGGAGCTGGAGCCACCAAGAATGGCATCAGTCCCAAAGCAGGGGCAAGAACATGAAAGGAACAAGGGGAAAATACTTTACTCAAGCCCTCTGACAGTCCTGCTGCTCTTCCGTTGGCCAAAATCCTAGCAGGAAGGAGTTGAAGAGAACCACTGTTGTGGCAAGAGCAGTTAACATTTGCTCTCCGAAGCATTTTCAGGTGTGCAGCACGTTGATCTTACGGGCATCACACGTACCAGCTCTCTTACACTTGTTGTTCTTGGGCAAATAAAATTTCTCTTTTCTTTGACCAGCAGCCCCCTCCCCCCACCAGTCGACTCTGCCCCTGCTCCTAGTCACTGGAAACCACTCTACTATCTGACTCCAACATTTCCGCTTCCACATAGGAGGTCATTGAGTATTTGCCCTTTTGTGTTTTGGGTTTTTGAGGCAGGGTCTCTTCATGTAACCTTGACTGAGCCTGGAACTCACTGTGTAGAGTGGAATTAAGGCGTGTGCCTGGCAGCCTTTGTCATCTTCCTGTGTCTGACTTGTTTCATATGCCACCCAAGGATATCCAAGTGCTGTGAAGAACTGAATTTCTGTCATTTTCAAAGCCAAATAGTATCCTATTATGCATATATACCACTTTAAAAAACCATTTATCTTTTGATGGATGCTTAGGTTGATTTTGTATGTTAGCTACTACACATAGGGAATGTGAGAGTGCAGATGTCTTTCAACATCTATTTATTTTCTTTACATGTATTCTTAGCAGCAGGCTTTCTGGATCATCTGGTAGTTCTGTTTTTATTTTTTCTGACAAACCTTCCTGATGTTTTCCAGTGGCCGTGTTAGTGTTAGGACAACCTGGGACAAATGCAGGCTCAGAACTAGAGTCTCATTCAAAATCAGTTGTCTGGCCAATGTTTTGATTTCTTAAAGACAACCCAGGTTGTTGGAGCGTGGTGAAGTTGTTCTCTCCAGGAATGGACAGTATTTCCAGCTCTGTCAGAGTTTAGAATTAGAGGCGGGGCAGAGGAAGTCCTAAATGTTCATACTTTTATTTAAAGTTCAAGAAGACCCTTGTGGGGCTGGAGAGATGGCTCAGTGGTTAAGAGCACTGACTGCTCTTCCAGAGGACCCGGGTTCAATTCCCAGCACCCATGTGACAGCTCACAACCATCTATAACTGCAGCTCCAGGGAATTTGACACCCATGGCAAAATACCAATGCACA